TGGTGGTATCCTCCCAGTAGTACCAACAATTTTGAACAAATGTAACCATTTAATTGCAGTGTAGCCAAAAGTCGCACGGTTCCTTGTGGAAGCAAGGTACGAGCATGACAGTGATCTTCTTCTATGGTGTGACCTTGTGACTGACCGTGGCAAACCGTAGCTGACGTACGGCAAATTAGGCCCAATGTATATGTGGAATACGACTGGCCGGGCGATTTGTGTTTCCCATTCTCCGCTAGCAGCTGTCCCGGCCTCCCACCACCCCATGCTCTCACATGTTTATCGGAAACTTCAGGAAAGTGTTAACGTTTGGCGGAAACAGAAATTGAGTTGCTGAGCCATCGTCATCAATTGTAGAGAATCCTTGAGAATGATCTGGTGTAACATCAAGTTAAAATTACTTTACTAGTACCATCATTTTTCGGCCACTTAAGGTTAAAGGAATGGCCGGTATGTTTTTATTGGAAGTGGTGTTCAAAGAACGTTTTAGAACTTCTTCGAAAATTTCACGACTGATATCTTTTGACAGTTGTCGAAGACCACACAATATTTTGCATTGTGTAAACAATAGGAATCATTTTAGTGCCCGGGTGAGTTAATGGTTCGATGCATGCAAAGAATGGTTGTGAGGAATTTTGAACGTAGCGTGTGATATTGTGTCCTTTTTTGGCAGCATCGGAAAAAATATGTGAAGCGGATTTTATAAAGCATCGAAGAAGAAAGGTGAAAAGTAACTCATGATAATGGGTCGTACTGGTAGAATAAGGGGAAGACGTCGCAAAGTTTCTAACCGAAGTATCAGTAATGATCCAAATTTTATAAACCTTGTGATATGGCTAAGAAGTAATAAATGGAACCCAACGTGTAGACTTCAGCCTGTTTTGTATCAAGATTTTGGTAGAGGCTTGATGACAAAGGATTCTATTGAGAAAGGAGATACTGTATTTTCTCTTCCCTTCAGTTCTTTGATTACGAGAGATGTTGTAGAAGATTCACCTATTGCATGTGTGTTTCATTGCATAAAGACTTTGAAAGCACAAGATGTTCTTTCTCTTTTTCTTGTTTGGGAAAAACAGTGTGGATCACAGTCTGTGTGGTACAGTTACATTAAGTCCTTGCCTACTGATTTCACACTGCCTGTATTTTGCTCTGTTGATGAGTTGGCATTTATGCCACCATTAATTGCTAAAGCAGTGGAAAAGCAAAAGGCAAATATAATGAATTCATGGAAATGTATTTCAAGCATTATAAAAACATTACAATGTTGTGAATCATGTGGGAAGAAACATACTAATGATTTTGTTTCCATGAATTTAAATTATGATGATTATATTTGGGCTTGGTCTGTTGTTAATACACGGTCAGTGTACTGTGAAAACAATAACATGAATACGTGTTCCATTAATGTTGTTGATACATTTTGCCTTGCTCTGGCACCCTTGTTAGACATGTTCAACCATTCCAATGACTCAGACTTGAAAGCAGAGTTAGGTGAAGATGGTCATTATAAGATAGTTGCTACTGGTTCAATTCCCAAATATTCACAAGTTTTCATTCACTATGGTCATCATTCAAATTTACATCTGTATCTAGAGTATGGATTTGTTATGTCAAATAATATTTATGATGTTCTTTTCCTTTCAGTTGAAGAAATTTTGATAACTACTAAAGATCTATTTCCTAATCGATGTAGCTATTCCAATGCCAAGAAGTTGTTCGTAACATGTCATAACATGTATAAAGACTTAATGTTTTCTTCCGAAGGTATTTCATTCAATGTTGAAGGATTGATATACTTATTAACTGCCCCAGAAATTGAGAAACCAAACTTTCAGAAAAAGATTTATAGTAAATCTTATAATGAACTGGAAAGAAGTATTATTGATATGGTTGGATTGAAGTTGATTGAAAACAAAATTATAGAATTTACTTGTTTATTGAATGAAATGAACAATAAATTTGAAGAGTGCAGTGAAAGTTTTCGTATTGCCATGTTTCTTGTAAGAGAATTTTTGAACATGTCTTCAAAGGCCCAGTGTTCGTTAAAAATGAATAGTTGTGAAAATTTTATTTAGTACTTTTCTCTCTCTTGAATCTTTTGTGAGAAAAATACTTTTGTATTTCTGAGTTGGGAAGTATTTGGGTTTCCTTATTATTAATTAGAAAAAAAAGTAAATACTTATTTTATGTCATCCAATAAAATGCCAATTTATATTAACATAATTTTTTATGTGTTATTCAAAAACCTTTTTTGTGTAAATATCCAAATAATCATGAATCTGAAGGTTGCTACACAATTAAAGGGAAAGGTGCATCAAACTGATAATAAGCCTTTTTTTTGTAATTTCATTCAGGGGAAAAGTCTTGTAGATATCAGTATTGGAATTGCATTTTCTGCTGCTTTTCACATGTATCTTGAAGTGTTATGAACTCAAACAATATTGGGATCATGAAGTTTGTTTTATGAGATATTTTAAGACTGTTGCATATGTGAAATGAGAGTTATCATTGCTGCCCCAAACCCTTTAGTTAATTAATGTTCCGCAATATTATTATTCTGCTTAAATTTCTTTCATAGTGAATGAGTGTATTTTAATATAAAGCATATTATTCATATTAAAACAATGAAAACATGATAATAATATTTTCTAAATTCAGTGACTTCGTCAAATTGTTTGCTGTATGAATTTTTAATTTCAGAAACATAAGTTCATAAACTTTTACATATTTGCTTAAAGCTGAGATGTTCAGAAGTGAAAGTTCTCTCTAAATACACAGTAATACCACAAAATGACCAGCTTCTTCTAAGTTAAATTATTTATTTATTTATGACTTGATAGTATTGTAGCAGCTGAAAATAAAATAGAAGTTAACTTGCAGCTGTTTATGTCCTCAGTAACTGCCAATTTACTTTGTTCTTCAACAACTATACATTTCCTTCGAATTGTGAAGATATATTATATTAGGGGTCAAAAGAGTAGATAGAATCAAAGATGTACAATTAATGTATAAAGCAAGCTTTCTCTCTATTGTTTATTTACCTCATTGTGAGCAAGGTTTTCCCTCTAAATTTTGAATGATTTGGGAATTATATTTAAAAGTTATGTATTAGATATCTTACATTGGCAAAAATGAAAATTAAGCCATTGGTTTACATTAGTAGTTACATATGTTAATTGAAAATAGTTTGCATTCATTATTTGAGAGTGGATTAGAAATTATAACAAATATTGCTTGTTGTAGGTATTTTCTCATAAAGCGGGTCCTGCATTGCAGAGTGCAAACAGCAATAATAAAGAACAACAGAAGTGTCCCAAAAATTCAGTTTTATCTGGTTCTCTAACAAAGCCTGGAAATGTTGACAAAATAGTAACCAGCTTTTTACCAAACATCCCTCCAGGACGAATTGTTCGACAATGTTTCCATCCTGGAACATCTGGTTTGGCCAGAGATGCCCTTCCACTAAATGGAAAGCCAGTTAGTGGGTTAAGTATGCTTAAAGGCATGCTTTCATATATTTGGCCCAAGGTAAGTATGTAATTTCTTGTAACCCAAATAAATACAAAATATGCTAGAGAAATATTTTATGAATGTCGTCTGTTCAGGAAGACCCATCTGTTCGAAAAAGAGTGTGTGTTGCTTTGGGACTTCTTGCTGGGGCAAAAGTTTTAAATGTAACAGTCCCATTTACATTCAAGTATGCCATAGATTATCTTAATGTCAATGCTGCATCTGGTACTGAAGAAATGCTATTAAATGTTTCCTCTGCATCAGATACTGTTACAACTTATGTTGCTGCAATACTTATTGGCTGTAAGTTGCTCCTATTATTAGTTGTATGCAAAAATATATGATTAGTTATAAAGTATTTTAATTTGTAACATAAGTACTTCTTACTTTGTAAATAGATGGATTAGCGCGAGCAGGTGCTGCAGGTTTCAACGAACTAAGAAATGCTGTTTTTGCAAGTGTGGCTCAACATTCGATTCGGCAAATAGCTCGAAATGTGTTTCTACATCTTCACAAACTTGATTTAGGATTTCATTTAAGTCGTCAAACTGGTGCCTTATCAAAGGTAATTGAAGAGAATATATGTTGAGCTTGAGATGATTAGTCATATATTTGGTTGCATTGAAAGGTTACACTGATCAACAAATTTTTAAAATTTGTGGTTATCTTTCTTTTTAACTTGTTGTAAGATAAGTTAAATATGCTGATTCAAAATACGCATACTTTTTGTCTCTATCACCCATGGTTTTTTAGATACACACTTCAACCATTTATATTTTACTAGAAAATGTTTTGTTAAATGGAGTACTAATGAATGTGAAAATAGCATTCCATTGACCCTGATGCACTACTCCATCACTGAGATTTACTAGTGAAAAATGTGTTCGTCGCTGACCAAACCTAGGTTTTCAGGAAAGAAATCAAGATGTGAGTTGAGGAGATGAATTTTGAGTGACCCAGCTTTTGTAGGCACTGATGCACTTCTTCACAACATTTACTTAGTAGATTAATAATAATAATAATAATATTTATTGAGTCATATATACAATTACAATAGTGTATGACGAGTCAATATGATGCCTTGGGTGGAGAGAGCGAAGTTACATTACTGTTCAGGAGCAAACAAGGGGCCATCTCAGCTTTTGCTCAAAGGACCAGGAAAACTGAACAAAACCTGATCGAGATGGGGTCATTGGCCTAGAAATAAAATACTTATTACAGTTAGATTAAGATATACAGTATATAAATTATCTGCAAATAATTATCATTTCAATATGTTATTTTAATGCTACTACTTATAATAATAATATTAATAATAATAATTACATTAATAATACATATCAATTATGTTTGCAACTACATCAAATTTAATAATAGTCGTACATTCTATATTTATAACTTGAAATGGTGAGGAGGCAAGTTTTGACCAGGGTTTTTTTCTTCTATTCACCTTCTTTTTCACAGGATGCGATATGCAGTTTTTTTTTCTTTTCTTCAGCTTGAAACAGTTTACACGAAACAGAAAGACTAATGGGATAAGAAATTCTTATTTATTTATATTTTTTTAAGGGAAATGTTGTATATATTGACTTATAATTTCCAAAGAAATTGGCAATAACTCATTTGAATGCCATCCATGCACCTTTTTCAGTATTATTCAGTAAGTCTTGGAAATGGCTGCCAATAATTACCTTCTTTATTTGTGGGCTTGTGAACACACCATCTTTTACTTGCATACATTATCTCTGGAAACTTAGTGCACAGGTACCGTAAAGCATCCGAACCATCTAGTGCCTTCACAAAATTTTCATGAGCCACAGCTTCATGTGAAATGGTGGCATGACAACATTGTCAGACACAATCAACAGTAAACAAAGGACTTTTTTATTTCTCGGGTGCATTTTAGTTTTGACAGGCTATTTTTTCTTTATGTAGTGGTGATTTCTATCTCCACTGTCCCACTTGCAGATTAAACATCAGTACTTAATGTACCCTGACAGATGTTCCTATGAAAATGATGAGTATTTCATTTCATCAGTGGATCATCATAGATACACTGTTTATACTCATGACAGCATATTTTTTCAAGAAGATGCGAGATAGTACAAGTGTGTCTCTTTCAGGTGGGCAGATAATCCAAACAGTACAACCACATTATTGTTTTCATTTTTTAATAATATCGCTTTAAAACTTGTTGAGTCGATAAACAATCGCCATGCGTCCATATTGTTTCATCCCGGGGCTTGTCAAGAGGCCTTGAACATCTGCACAGTAGCAATTACTGTCACTTATTGCACAGTAATGCAATATCAAAAATGCTTTAAAATATTACCTTAAATATAATTTTTGGCACAGACAATGAAAATATTGTGTGTCATTGTGTGAAAAAATATAAAAACTTGGGAAATAGATGAAAGGTGTTTCATGAAAGTAAATTTTTGTCGCTCTCTTAAAAACCTGACGTTACAGAGCAAAACAGTTTTCAGAATTGAAATCAACAGAAAAAACACATTTTAAAAAGTAAACAACTTGCCAGATATTTATAGCTTGTTTATTAGTGTTATCAAGAACATTAAAATTGTCATTGGTAAAGAATTCACTACCTTGCACCATACATTTCTTCTCATAAGCTTTTTAATTAGTTTGTTGGATCAATCTAGGTTTGAAACAACAAAATGTTTCTTTTCCTATTTAGTATTTATCTATACCCATTTTGAACAAATTCTGAAAGCTTTTTTTGTACACAATAATTTAATGAACAACAGTCTAATTTTATAAAGTACTATGATAAAAATGTCAAACAGTTTTGGTTTCTACTACAAAGTTATTAATCAATATGTGTTTCAGACATTCCTTGTGACTCTTGCGAGGTTTAAGCAGCCTTGTAGTCTGTTTTGATATAACAAATACACTACCCAAAAGTTTAGTATTGAAGAACAAAAGTAGAAAATAACTACCATGACTGAAATTATGTGAGCCTGTCTCTAAGGAAGTAGGACAGAAGTTTTGAAGCCAGAGAGCTGTTTGTAACTTTTTTGACCATTTATGGTGTTGACGAGTAGTAACATGGCAGTGGAAGAAGATAGTGTTTTTAACAAAGCTCTGATTCTTTCCTCAACAGCTGTGTTCCTTGTGCAGCAAGTATTTGTTTTCCTGACTTACAGCAATGATATCGCATGGTATGAATCTAGAAAAATTCAATTAATGTTAGCACAGTAAACTACCACATCTCATTTTCCTCTATTCTGAGGCCAGGGGTGGATCCAGAAAGAATTTCGGGTGGAAGGGAGGTACTAATCCTTGTATTAATATTTTTTTTAATTGTTAACTTGAAAAAAGTTTGAGTATATTTATAATGGTAATACTGCTTTGGATGGCATGAGATCTATAAGGTAATTATTTTGAATAAATTAAGAAAAATATTACAAGAAAGATGACTCGTGGAAGGCATGACCCCTGTGGCTGCCCTCTTTCCCCCTTTCATCTTATGTCTGTGATTTCTATTATCACCACCACTGCATCCTTCCATGATCTTTTTTTCACTTCAGTGTGCACTTGTATTGACATCAGTTCACTTAGTTACAAAAATAATGGGTACTCTAGGTTGGAAGCTCGTAATGCCTAAACAGAAATTGGTCAATAACACTGTCTTGACTTTGCCCTGATAACAAATTCATTGATTCAGTGAATGATTATAAATATCTGAAATTTGGCCATTATACTAGGATTTATTTAACCATGCACTTGACGTAAATCAGCTGTTCACATTTTTATCCAATCGGGAGCTTGAACGTCTTCATAGTGACATCACTGTAGTGACATATAAACTCCCGATTAGATGAAACTGCAACAGCTAATTTACATGAAGTGCATGACTAAATAAATTGTCCTATAGTCAACAACCTGTTAACGGACGAATTTTATGACAATGTTAAATTCATTGCTGCTGGTTTTGGATTATTGATATTAATTACATGTGTGTTCTTAAACTCTCCTTCAAATATTTTGTGTTGTTATTTTAATATATATTTAAATAATTAATAAGAGACTCAAATGATATATAATTCTAAAATTGTTTCAGTTATAAGCATGGTATTTACAGTTTAATAGTGTATTTGCCATTCACACATTGAATGTTTTCATATTTGTGTCTAAAAGTTCTGTAATTTCTGTGCAGACCATTGACAGGGGAAGCCGAGGAATAAATTTTGTTCTCACTGCTATGGTTTTTAACATTGTGCCAACGATATTTGAACTTGCTCTTGTCAGCTCAATTTTGGTATGTTATTTCTCATATTTTTACAATATTTTAAATGAATTTCAAAGTGCAATATTGTGTCACTGACCTATCCTGTTTTCTTCAAGGGAGTTAAATGTGGAGCAGCATTTGCTGGAGTGTCCTTGGGATGTGTTGGATTGTATGCTTTATTTACATTAGGAATAACACAGTGGCGCACCAAATTCAGAGTGTATATGAATCGGGCTGAAAATGAAGCAAGTAATAGAGCTGTGGATTCACTGATTAATTATGAAACTGTAAAGGTATGAACTGATTGCAAGTAACTTAAGAGATTAAATTCTTGTAATAAATAATGTTTTTGTACTTCATACATAATGAAATAACATAAGTGTATTAGCAACTCAATTATCTTTGTATTTGTACAATACATACAGGTAAAAAATTTAAAATGGTCTTGTTCAAAAAGATGTGATTCAAAAGCACTGTATTTTATGGAATCCTTTTCTGATAAATTTGTTTCTACTAGTACAAAATGGGGCTGTCATCAAAATTGCAATATTGTGGGGAGAGAAAAAACTGAGTACTGGCTGTTGGCACAAGTCCATAACCTCAAATTTCTCGCATTGAACTAAAGTTGTCCAATATTGTGTAGTGTATTGAAAGGATTCTGAAGATTGACATGCCAGGAGAGCATAGACAATCCCCTTCTTTGAGTTTGAATGAGGCTGTATAGTTCGTCTGCAAAAGTTTGGGCAATTATAGGAGATTAATATGCTACATGATTGCATTTGTCCAATTTCTGCAAAATCAGGGCGTTGTATATAATAGGTCACTGTTCACCTACATAATGCTCATGCAACCTCACAAATCTAACATACTCTGCTATCAATGATTACCAGATATGTCTTTCCTTTGAACAAAGTGCTTTTTATTTTCCATCAGTTTAATAGTATGTTGCAAATGGAACCGAAATTTTATTCATAGCATAAAATAATTGAGAATTGAATTTTTCCCAGTACTTCAATAATGAAAAATATGAAGCTAATCGCTATGACCAGGTTCTAAAAAAATATGAGGAAGCCTCCTTGAAGACAAGTTCTAGTTTGGCTCTTTTAAATTTTGGTCAGAATGCTATATTTAGTGGTGCTCTTAGTATCATTATGGTGATGGCTGCAAAACAGATTATGGAGGGTAAGTACATTTTTAAGTTATTGAATGATAGTTCTTACTAATGAAAATAAAGTTTTGCTGCTTATGTTACCCTTTGTGAAGTTTTCATGAATGAAAAGTTTGACTTTGGGTCATGAAATATATTTTTCTCACTTCCTACAGGAAACATGACAGTTGGAGACTTGGTAATGGTGAATGGCTTACTGTTCCAATTGTCAATTCCATTAGGATTTTTGGGATCAGTTTACAGAGAAGTGCGACAAGCATTGATTGATATGCAAACAATGTTTACATTAATGACAGTTGATAGCAAGATAAAGGTTAGTTGAATTTACACTTATCTTTTTAGTCAATACTCCAATGTGTTCTCCATTATGGAAGTATTGAATGGTATAAACATTAATAATTTTCAGAAGTATAAATGGTATTGAAGAATACAAATTTTTATCTTAATCATGTGGAAACAGTGTAGCAAAAGCAACTAAGCAACATGTGCACCTAAAGTAAGGAGCAATTACACTGCCTCCTTGCAACACAGTTTTTACTTCCTTGCACTATTCTCTGATTGAAATTTAAGTTCATTTGATAGATCAGCTGAGATGCAGTTATTCAAACAGAAGTATCACTTTTCAAAACTGAAGCTTTTGATTGTATAACCGCATCCCAGCTGATCATTGATTGGAAAAAAACAGTAAAGTGAAAGTAATGTAATGCTGCAGTGGAAAGTGGCAATTCTTCAACAGACAATCTCATTGTTGGGAGTCCCTGATATTGAAAAAGTGGATAAATGCTGCTTCTATATACCAGATATCGAATCTGATGGTTCTTTGGTAATATTCGATATATATAACCTTAAATATATAGAAATGATTATGGAATATTTGCAAATGCTTTAGCCAAAAAATTTTAACTTATTATCTTCCAGACCTTTCCTGAAACTTCGTATATACCAAACATCGAGCATATTCTGTGTCTTTTTCTTTTATAATAGGTCCCCAAACTGGCTCTTCCCCCCCCCCTCCCCTCCCTCAAGAACTTAACCTTCTTCAAAACAGCATCATCCACACCTTCGTATTGACCCAATTTATGATTTGAAACTTTTGAACCCTTTTCTGATTTGTTCTTTTCCCTCCTACAGCTTCAAGAGTTTTGAAACATTTTTTGTAGTTTTTCATTATAGTTGAAACTGTATTAGCTGGTATTCCATACTTCTGTGTCACTAGTATTTTTACATACCAGTGTTCACATCATTTTGAAGTTCACATTTGCTGCAACATTAAGGAATGTTCATTTCAATGTTTTGAACACACTTCTTAAGCACATTATAGAAAACTGATCCTGCGCTGTGCTGACAAATTAACATAGAAGCAAAGGGCCATTAGACGAAGGGGAATGCAATTGACCTTCAGATCTCTTTGGCGTGTGCATTCCCATGATCGACAAATTCCCAAAGAGAGAGAAAGCGCTGAGTTACTTTCATGAGAAAGCTGGAAACTGGACGTAGAAAATACATTAGTGTTTTATGAATGATTATTCAATTATAATAAATCCTGATGGCAGTTATATTTTTCACAGCAGTACTACTCTCCTTCGAAATTAAACAATATTGTTTTTGTAGAAACAACATTTATAGTATACACAATATTATTTTTATTTCACAATTTTTTTTTTTTTTTTTTTTTTTTTAACTATTGTCCAGTCAGAAAATGAGTTAGATATTGTGAAGTCATGGATACTCACAGTGAACACAGACACAGAGCTTTCAAATAACAAATACTTATTTACAAAGAAAACACAAATATTTACAATGAATTTTCACTTTACACCCTAGTCTGATAGACATACTATCCACCTGATGCGGGAGTGATAACCAAAACCCGATTGATGATCGGTTTCAATTGTGGCATTCGCCACTCCTACTTCTGAAGTGCGCACAAAATCGCAGCAGTGATCTTACCCGATTGAGAATTGGCGTGAGTCGTGGCACTCAATTACTCCTCACCTCGGAGCACGCACACAGCATCGCTTCCACGTGATCGCAGTCACCCAAGGACACAAAGTCCTCCACAGGCTCGACAACATGTGACTTGCCTCGCGAGCCCTGCCCGCCGCTGCACCGTCTTGGTGCTGAGTTTTGTGCAACTGCACAAGGTCTGTCTCCAGAACCCACCCACTGGCTCTTTACACTCCCTTATATACTCGAGGCTCACGTGACCTGCTACGTCACACCACCCACGCGCGCAGTATTGCTGGCCATGAGGTTTGGGCTCCGTTTCTTAAGACCGGAGGACCCCAAAGCCTCGTGTCTCCCATTTCCGCGTTTTTGCTTGAAGGAAAAGCCCTTCTCTCCCTCCTGTGGCGATGTGTTTCCTCTTACTAATCCCTTACCCCACGTCACCAAAGAGATGCCACAAGGCACGCTGGCTAATACGTTACAATATATAGAAATAATTTTGGATGTATAAAAACGTTTTTAAACAGAATTTCCAGGGAAATAAAAAAATAAATTTGATTATAAAAAATTTCAATATATGGAGGTCTGACTGTATGTAGAAAGTTACTTCCTCCAATACAGTGTGTAGTCAGAATTCAAGTTTTGTGGTTTCTTGAAAGGGAAAAATCGGCTTACTACAAAACATCTGTCCATTTGTTGTTGAAAACAGTTGAACCATAGGTAGGATTGTCATGAAAGTGTATATGCCCCAATCGATGTTGCTGTTGTCACGACCCCATCTTGATCAGGTTTTTGTCCAGTTTCCCTGATCCATTGAGCAAATGCTGAGATGGGTGCTTGTTTTGCTTCTGGATGTAAATATAGCTTCACTATGGGTATGTTTTGTTGAACTCTCCTTTTGCTTGTAATGGTAGGAGAAGAGGTAAAGGCGAGTTACTATTTTGTTAGCAATGCAGAAAAATCATACTTGCAATTCGTTTACCATTGCAAATAAGTTTTCTATAACTCAGGAACCAAAATGTCTATTTCTTTTTCAAATTTTGCTAATCTCGCAATATTTAAAATTTATTTTAATTTCTTTATTTTAAATTTTACTCATCTTTCAATCATTTATAGTTAAAATGACGGGGAGGGATTCTGGAATTCAAGAAAACTTGTGCAGATAATCTTCTCCCCCATACTTCACATACAGTTTTGTACTGTTTTTTTGACTAAATCTAAATCTAAATTTGAAATACATGTTTTGGATTTGGCAAGTACTTAACACAAAGCTTCAACATTATCAAACATTTCTTAAAAATAGCTTAACAATTTTTCGTTATTTTTTTTCTCAGATAGAGCCAAGTGTACAAAAAACTAGTGGTTCTACAGAGTGGCACAGACTTTCTCAAACTAGTTAGTTTTCTTATATCTTTGGTGTAGGCTAGCTCTTCAGTCTTCCCCATCCTCTTGCCAACTGCCATCTATCACTGTCTAAATTTAATTTTTTTGAAATATACTCAATTTTTCTTCCCCGTATACAAACATATGGAGTAATATACATAGTATATGGAAAGTTATGTAATGCTGCTGAAAATTGATTTTAAGATTTCAAAATGTTTTGGTGTTCCCTGACAACGAGATAAGAGAATAAGAGTTGTTGTTTTCTTTTTCTTCAAAACGTCCATCTGTCTGGTGCATGTGTACAACATTAGCGCTTAAAGCATGCGTAGGATTTTTTCCAAATTGAAGAAACCCCTGTCCATTTAGCCTGAGTCAAAGCTCTGACATTTTGAAAATCATTAATTTGTTTTCTTTACATGAAGCCCCTAGAACATTTTCATAATTTTCTCAAAAATGGCTCCAAAATTTTTCTTTAAATTTCTTATAAGTATAGAGTAAAATGCATTTATAAATGTGGCATATGTCTGATTTTTATGGTTAATTCTGCATTTTCAAAAATTTTCAAAAGTTTCAATTTTTCAGGGTCTGTATACAACTACCGAACGATTTTTCCTTGAAATAAAATTTGTTCTCCATAGTAAGTTCGTTTCATTAAGATCGTTTTCTTGTCTGGTTTGTAACATACACTCTCTTGTCCTGCTTTCAAGCATTGCTTGTTAAGTGAGGTCCAAAATGTTTCAAAATTTTGTTTCTCTACCGTTTGTAATTTTCCTCTTAATCTTCTTTCATATATTGTTCTGATGCTTTCATCTTTTAGAAGGTAAATCTTGAGTTTAGTTGGTGAAATATTCTTATTTTTCTTGGTTTTTGTGCATTGTATGTTTAATTTAATTTTACTTTCTAGTAGTCTGTGTCTATTTCCCTCCGTGTGTATACTTTTGATTTTTTGATATAATTGAATAGGTTTCTTCTATTTCATAATCTAGGATATATTTTGTACCTCTTGCTTCCCTAGTATATTTATGTTCATCTTTGGGTTTGAAAAAACTATTATTTATTATCAGGTTATTGAATAAGCAAAAATTCAGTATTGTTTTACCATTTTCATTGAGAGTTTTTTCGTCTTCCAGCCTTTTGCAAGGGAGGACTTCCTTTTCACCCACTGGCATTGGAATCTCCTGAGATAATGAGAATCTCCTTTTGGCTTATTTGGTCATCCAATTGTTGTACAGAAACAGATTCTTCTATTTGACCTTCAACTAGCACATATACAGTTATTACATTTAATTTATGTTGGTTCACTTTTATTATTATTGTAATCAATCTTGGAGAAATCCAGTTGTATTCTTCTATGTTCTTTCCATTTTTTTTATTATCAAAGCTACTACACCTGCAGCATGTTTTTCTTCCACTACACCTGAAGATATTACAATATGGTCTTCTAGTTCTTTTGTGCCTTTATTCTTCTTTTTTGTTTCTGAGATGACAGTGATATGTAGGTTCCTATTTTCAGTTCATAGTTCAATTTATTTTCTTTGTGTAATAGTCTTCTTCGAAAAGAGGCTCTTAAGGCTCTTAAGTTGTGAACATATTTTGCCTAATAAACTCCTGTGAATGTACATCTTAATAATATATTCTAGAGATATTTTTCATTTTCTTCACATTTACAATTTACTTGTAAGGAACATATAAAATCAAGGGATGGTGATGGTGAAAATTTGGAATGTGCTTCATCTGAATTTGAATGTGAAGAATTCTCAAACTATGTTGTCTTCTAATTCTTCTTTAATTTCCTATCACCTCATCACAAAGACCATCTGTGGTCTTTTGTTTTGTTATTTTCGCTGAGGGAAGAAAGAACACTCGGAAAACAGGCTTCAGAATTTATCTAGAATTCTGTATAGATGTAATGAAAACTAGAGTATATTTAAATGTTAATGTAAATGATATACTGAAAGAAAGGCTGCATGCATCGGAAACCCACTTATATAATTTGAACAAAGAAGAATTGTGAGCAGTGTAGGAGACAGGATGGTCTAATACCTGAAATATTAATAATATTTTTTAAACACTAATTAACACCTGATAGTATTTTATTGTCAATTATGAAATATGAATACATTTTTGACACATTTATCCCTGCATTGTTGGAGATCTGATAATGTGTACAGTACTTTTTTTTAAGCACTTTTTTACTGTGGTTCATATTTTAAAAATTTCCAGAGTAAACCTACTGCACCACCTCTTTATTGCACCCCAGATAATTCAACTATAGTGTTTCAAGATGTACATTTCCAATACATCCCTGGAAAGCCTGTGCTTCAGGGTCTGTCTCTTACTATACCTGCTGGAAAGAAAGTAGCTATTGTTGGAGGATCTGGTTCTGGGTAAGTAAAAAATTATTTTCTAAAGACATTGAATTATACACAGTTTTAGACTATGAAAATTGTGGATTCAAATTTTATCAAAGAGACAGCATTTCATATGGGTGAAGGTACTGACTGTTTTTTATGCTAATAGTTGATTGTAATTACATACTGCTCACCTGAAAAATGTCTTACCTTTCCTATAATTCTAATGAAGTTGACCTGTCAGTAGTAGAATGGCATGGAATATTTTTCTATTGAAGTCATGATTTTGCTTATTTACGGTTTCCTTAAAATTTAAATCAGGAAAATGCACGGAATTGAAATTAAATGAATTACCTTATTGATTTACATATCTATTCTTACAAATACATGTACACATTGATTTAAGCTTTAATCAGTTTATTGTGTGAACGTTAAATAAATATAATTTATTTTATATGCACTCACTACACAGATGCTAACCAAATTCATTAGAGTTCTGAATTTTTTGTTACTGAAGCGAACATTACACAGAAGTGAGCAAAGGAACAATCAGTTTGTCATTAATTCTTTATGAAGTAAAGCAGAATTTGAATGGGTTGTACACTTAATTGCTTGACTTGCCACAATACTTAAGCAAAACCAAAGTAAGTATACCCAAATCATGGTTTTAGGGCAAATTGATACAGTTTATCTGAACTGTGGGCTTACACTGTTCATGTTTCTTCCATCAATATATCTTTTTTCTTTCTGTCCGACTTTCTGAAAATTGTAAACTCATTCTTAGCCATTGTTTGGTTTTGCAAATGTTATCCACTATGATAGAGACCTTGGCATTGTACTTATTAAAAGCAGCTTTATTCACTCTGTTTTGAAAGTTATGCTGATGTCCTGGCTTTCTTCACAACAAGTATTATTCATAATGGTATAGTTAAATGAATAAAGGTAGAGTTTACAATGTTCGAAAAAGGGCTAGTTGTTGGATCTTCAATTCTGCATGTTGAATAAGGTTTATAAGGAGAAAAGGAAGAATATCAATCACTTAAATCTTAGATGTAGATGAGAGTGTAGAGTGAAAGAAGCAGTGTCAAGAGTCATTGCTTGGTTATTGATTGGTTGGAAAATTGATAGTTAGTATTTAATTTAATTTATTTTGTCAAAGAGAAGTAAAAACTATACAAGACTTACAGGGTAGAAGTACAATCTGCTCATGTTTTCTTGAGCCCTTCCTCTCCATTTAACCATAAATGGCTGAATGATGGATAAAGTTCAAACTTAGTGATTTGAAAATGAAACATTGTGCTCCAGAGTTCTATAGAAAACTTATTTGCATTTGTCATCGAACAACAGATTTGATTTCTAGTTTGCTAATAAGAGAAATCCATACCCCTAGCTCTACTCCTACCAAAACAACCAAAAGGAAAGTTCAACAAAATGTCCACATAATGAAGCTACATTTATGTTCCGAAGCAAAACTAGGGGCCATCTCTGCATTTTCTCAATGTACAAGGAAACTGGATAGAAACCTGAGGGGGTCATAGACGAAGAAGCTGAAGTACATTACTTGTCACAGGCATATTAAGTCTTTTTAAAATTTTGCATTATAAATATAAAGTAATGCATGATACATTATTAATATTTGCATTAAAATAAATGTTATTTTTCTTTTTTATAATATAGTCTCTTATATTGTATAGAAACAGTTGCGCAGTAGAAAAGGTTTAGCTTTGAACTTGTGTGTTGATTTTAATTGTCTTAGTCATCTGTCAATGTGTTGTAAAGTAATGTATTAAATGTGGATTCCTTGAAGTGAACTGTTGATACTGATACCTTGTATATGTTTTCTTGTTGTAATATCAGTAATGCATAAAAATGTTTTCCCACTGTCAAGAAAATCGGTTTAAAAAAAAATTACCTTTGAATTTCTCCAGAATATTATGTCATATTTCAGGTGGGAATGTACATTTGCAAAATACAAAGATCTGCATGAAATCTAGCAGAGTTTGAAGGACTTTTGAATGCATAACATAATGACATTTGAGGTTTGACAGAATTGGGAGACCCATAAATTTTGTTACCTTTCATCAGCCAATTAAATATTGTTCATTTTTAATGACACGTGTGATTACTGGTGTGAAAACAAAAATGCAATGAAACTGTTTTTCCTTTTTTTAATTATTAATTTGGTATCAGAAAACCAGTTTGTCTCAAATGAGATATTCAAAAGGTTTTTACGTTTGGTTTAGAAAACTGCAAATGAATTAATAGATTAATAATTGAGCAATATCTTATTCTTTTAGAAAGACATCTATTATTCGTCTTTTGTATCGCTTCTTTGAACCTCAAAGAGGAAATATATTGATTGGCAATCAGAATATAAAGGATGTTGATATTGAAAGCCTTCGGAAAGCAATAGCTGTAGTTCCCCAGGTTTGTGCCAACTTTTTTATCCACTATTTCAAGTGTTAATATGTTTTCTTTTTATATTTAACATTGCATCTTTCTTTTTAGGATTCTGTGCTATTCCATGACACAATATTTTATAATCTTCGATATGGTGACTTTCAGAAAACAGATAATGATGTATATGAGGCAGCAAAAATGGCAGATTTACATGATTCCATTCAGAAATGGCCAGATGCTTATCAGACACAGGTAGTGTGGATTTGTATTTGTTCGTCTTCAAACGTTGCAGTGCTGTGGGTTTTGTATTGAATTTGTTGGTTTGCCAACCTTTATTTGTTTTATAAGTTAATAGCTGGCACACATATATCATATAATAATTATATTCTCATTTTTGTTGCTCAGTATTAAAGGTATCACGGAATTCCCCCTTTGTTTATAAAATAAATATGTTTTTTAATGAATTTTTCAAAACTGAAAAGAATGAAACAATACGAAAAATAGCAGAAAATTATGTTTTAGGTTGGAGAACGAGGTCTGAAATTATCAGGTGGTGAAAAGCAAAGGGTTGCTATTGCTCGTGCAATTTTGAAAGGTTCCCCTATATTAATTTTTGATGAAGCAACATCGTCACTTGATTCCATCACTGAACATGTAAGTATATGTTTCCTAAAGAAAATTATGGAAGTAAGCAAAATATTGTAACTTGATAATGCAAGCAAGAGGGACCATCTAAAAGTATGGTTTCCTCCTTCTTTTATGCCTGACATACGAAATTTAAATAATATTTTATTAACTTCCATCATTTTCTTAACATAGTAAGTGATCTTATCTGTATTTATGTTATTAATTATAGATATAAAGTTAACCTAAAAATGTGGTCACATTTGGGCCATGAAACATTGTTGTATTTTGTGATACTGCCACAGATAATTAAATGAAATTTAACTCTCTGTGTCTTTTGAATGTCTTTTATAAAGTTAGGACATGTTTTCTGAAAAAATGCTTCACTCTCCTGTGGTATTCTCAAAGACTCATTTCAAATCAAGTATAAGGAGGCGGAAAAATAGAGAAAATGTGTAAAAATTCATGTTATTTTCGTTGCAGACAATTTTGGGAGCACTCAAGCGTGCTACAGAAGGCCGTACTTCTATATGTATAGCTCACCGACTATCAACAATTCTAGATGCAGATGAAATACTTGTGCTTGAGAATGGGCATGTGGTTGAAAGAGGTACACATGAGCAGCTCTTGAGTAGTCGTAGAAGTATTTACTCCAAGATGTGGGATATTCAACAGGCAGCACTGAATACTGGACCTACAGAGAAACCTGCTGTACCTCGGGCAGCTATCAATTAATTCTACAGTAGTGTTGTGCTATGCAGTGAAAGTGATGTCCTTGTAAATAAATGTAAGTACTGATACTGTGTTTCTGAAAACAAACCAAAAAGTTTTATATTTTTTATAATTGTGAAAGATGGATCAACAGGTGAGTTGTCCCAACATTTTAATAATTAGGGAACATTTATTCAGTTAAATTATTGTTAATGATACCTTCAATTTACCGAATGTCATGGAATAAATATCAGTCTTATTGAGGTTAAAAGCCTGGGCCGAGAGTAATAACAGAAATAAATTTAGAACTCCAGTCTTCTTCTTCTTCTTCTTCTTCTTCTTCTTCTTCTTCTCCTTCTTCTTCTCCTTCTTCTTCTTCTCCTTCTTCTCTGTTCTCCTTCTTCTCTCCTTCTTCTTCTTCTTCTTTCTTCTCTTCTCCCTTCTTCTCTTCTCCTTCTTCTTCTCCTTCTTCTTCTTCTACTTCCTTCTACTCTTATTCTCCTCTTATTCTTCTTATCTCCTCCTTAATTTCTCATTCTTGCTTCTCCTCTTAATTTCTCATTCTTCTCCTCTCCTCTCCCTCCTCTCCATCCTCTCCTCCTCCTCTCCTCTCTCTCTCCTTCCCCTCCTCTCCCTCCTCTCCCTCCTTCCTCCTCTCCTCCTCCTCTCCCCTTCCTCTCTCCTTTCATCTCCTCCCTCCTCTCCTCTTCTCCTCCTCTCACATCCTCTACTCCTCACCTTCTCTACTCCTCCCTCTCCCCTCCTGCTTCTCCTCCCTCTTCCCCTCCCCTCTCCTCTCCTCTCTCCTCCTACTCCTCTCCTCTCTCCTCTCTCTCCTCCGTCAACCTCCTACCTCTCTCCTCTCCTCATCCTCTCCTCTCCTCCTCTCCCTCTCTCTCTCCTCCTCCTCCTCCTCTCCTCCTCTCATCCTCTCCTGGAACCGTTCCCTGCTTCTGAAATGGAGCACTGGGGTCTACATTTTTGTCATTAATCAGGAATTGCTTTATTCTCAATTTTTCTTCAATTTTTCCTCATAATTTACTAAAGACTCAGGAGGCGTGTTACGCGAGACAAAGCTTGCTCTGTGCCTGATACGTTAGTTTGTGGAATGCAATAATATAAGATAGCGATTTACAATGACAGAGGAGAGAACTGCAGCTAAATTATGTCCTGTTTGCTTTGAAGAAATGGATGTTCTTCTTCAGGAGGAGGAGGAGAAATCTTCATGTTTCTTACGGAGAAATTATTTTTTTATCCTTTGGTATTTTACATTAAAGCACGAGAGGGATTAATTTTCAGGAAATGATGTACCCCCTTTAGAAGCCTCCCCCCCCCCCCCCCGCCCCATGTGTTGCGTTCACAGTTTGAGAACCCTGGTGTTTGCCCTTGAATGAAGTTTCGTCATATTCGGCATTAAGTCAAACCCACCAACTCAAGTAACATGCATGGCCTTGCCAACACATGAATTTGTATTGAAAAAACATTTTTACCTAAAGTTTCCGAGCACTTAATTCAAGACCTATTTCAACAAATTGTAAATATGTTCAAAATGGTAAACAAGTTAGATACGTTTGTGATATTTCTGCATGCAAGTTTAGAAATAATTAGCCTTTGATGGTGCACCCACAGTACATCGAAGAGGTGGGTTTGTATTGTGGGAATATTTTTATTTTAAATTATTGAGCACTTACTAATCCAATCAAATAGTACACAATGAAATGCAGAATGTATGTCGTTCAAATTATTTCTGATGTACTTTCTCATAAACTCAAAAGATATCTGTAAAATGAGATCAAAGTTGTGTATTTTCAGAAATGTTCAAATGACATTTTCTCAAGAATGTCTAAATTTTTCAATAAAAATTTGCAGATAGAACCATATTTGCATGAACCTCTTGTTTAATATTCTTGAAGTCAAATTTCAGTTCTGCTTTTACGGGAACACAAAATTGTGAAAATGTGAGAAAATGTCTTCAAGGCATTCATAGGTAGCAGTTGGGAAGAAAGTGGGGCAATATCAGAAAGGTAGCATTGACGAAAAAAATAGGAAGCTAGTGTGAGAAAATTTGTGCCATTCTGTGGCACCACTAGTTTTAGTTATAATTTTGATATTATTTCAGCCTTTTTTGAAAAATTTATGGTATTCTGATTTCTTTTCAGATGCAGTCTTCTCCTTAAAAAAGAAACAAAGAAAAGAAAGTAGAAGTAACCCAGTGTGTGAAGAAAGTATGATTCGTGATATAACCAGGATCTGTACAAAAGGATAGAATTACATATTCATTATGTTCTGCATTTCTCCCATACCACATTAAGACATCATCAATTGGTTTCATAGTAAATAGTTGTTTTTGACTGTTCATTTATGCTCTTTTCTATAAAAATTGTTTTTCTTTCATGCTTATAAATTTTTTTAATTGTCAGCAGAAGTTATACGTGCTTGTATAATTTTATTATTCTTTCTAATAAACTGTGTGTATAAGCAAATGTGAATTTGAACAAGATTCCTGATTGAACACTCAGGTAACCTCTTTGCTTTTGTGTATTTAGAGAGAGACTTTCAGAATATTATAATTGGCTCTTAATGTTTTTCTGTATTTGTGAAACCACTGGCGATCTTACATTTTATTTCAAGTGATTACATTGCATCACAAAATGTATAAATTTTATAAATGATTTATTGATCACGTCGGCAGTAATGCTGGTCATTATATTTCTTTTGAAGTCACTTTCTGTGGATCAGAAGTTTTGTAAGTATATAAAAATTGTAATTATTCATTACTGTTGATCAAGTGTACAAAATATTTATATACTGCATTGTACATAAAAGATTGTTAATAAAGTTAATAGTCGTTTTAATTTTGTATGCATATTTTTTAGCAAATCTATCATGAACTTTGTAAATAAATGCAATAGGCGGTAATGCTGAAAGGTTTTTAGCAATTTCTGTCAAAACTGTGTGCTCTTCCCCTTGTTCTTGTGACATTTACATTGCAAAATTATGCTTTTGCTCTCTTATCTGAGTATTAGAGCAATGCAGTTTGCATACCAACCCTTATGATATAGAGAAATTAAGTTATCTATATATAGACCCCAAAATATTTAAATTATATTTTGTATTTTATACCTATTATAATTTTGTGGTTTATTTTTAATTTCTCTTTCTCCCACTATCTCCCCCTCTCTTACCCTTTCTCCATCCCCTCCCTCCTCCTCCCAACTCTCTCCCTCTTCCTACACTCTCTAGAGTAAATATTTTGGGTCAAGACATACTTGAACGCCTCAATTGGTAAATTGCGAAAATCAGTATCCTCTCTTTTATCTTACACTATTGGTTTATGAATAAAAATTGCCACAAGGATTTTACATGTTATGTCGATATTTTTTTCAGTTATTTACGTTGCAGCTTTATATCAATTCAATTATATTGTAACAATTATTTCGTTATCTGCCGGCGCACCACGAACTGGACGGTTCCGGGTTATTCGCGAGTCTGGTAGAAATTTGGAGCAAGTGCCGGATGTGTCGAGACGGGCGCCGGCCAGGTATAAATTCGCCGCTGCCGGCGGCCGCGAGTCAGTGTATGTAGTCATTGAGTGAACAGTCAGTCCGTCAGTGTGAGTATGCAGTAGTTTGTCTGAAGTGGAAGCTGAGCTGTTCATTGTGCATTGCGGTGAACAGCAGCCTGAAGTCGCAAGCTGAGCTGTGAAGTGTGCATAGTGGTGTACAGCAGTGCAGGGGATCCTGGTCAGCGCAGTGGACCGTGAACAGAGCATCGGATTGTGCAATAGTGTAGAAGTGAACAGCGTAAATAAATAATCAAGAGAACAGAGTCGTGTGTAAAGAAAATAATCAAGTGAAGAACACAAAGACTGTGTAACATCTGTAAATAAATCAAGTATTTTAGTGTATCATTATTCACAAAATAAACGTCTGTTAAATATTACGCGTGTGTTTTCATTCACCACCGAGAAATGTTACAATATATTGCACTCCATTCAGCTTCTCATTAAAATCCAATTACTGCAATCAAACAATGTACAAAGTCTTCAACATTCTTGGACATTGCACAAACAATAAACCCGTTTCCACCCTCTCTTGGCCAGATTGGTAAGTCTAAGTGAGGTTTGTATGCGATCTGCCTGTTAAATTGAGGAATTAATCTCCAACACCAGGAACAATGTTACAGACAGATATGGAGCTACAATTTGTCTTGTGCATTATGTAATGGTTCAGGACTACGATGAACCCTAAGGTTATAACGCCGTGACGTTTGGGACGTGCGAGGGAGCTCTTCACCGCCCTTCAGTGAAAGTTGTCCCCAGGAGGACGGTACGTACCTCTGAAAGCCGTTAGGCTTTTTAGGAGATGATGTATAGCTGCTGAGAAGAGAGTGGGATCAAACCGGAAAGCCAGCAATGTCTCAAGAGCATAGGAAACAAATTAATACGAGAACGTCTATGCCATTTGCTGCACGACTAGTTTTACTTTCTTATTAAGATTTTTTAAAAACAATAAGCCAACCTCTTTCTACTATTTCTATTTTTGCATCAAAATCGAGTCAAAAACCCACATACTGTGTCACAAACCAAGTTCCTGATGGCGTAATCAACGGGGACGATGAGGTTACAGCAATCCTCAACAACAATTAGACACTTAATCCTGAATAACATCCTCAACAATATAAGATTGTATTGAGCATCAAAAAGGAAAGTAATATTGATTTTAACAATACATCTATTTAATTCTAAATACGCATGTAACAAGTAATGTACGTCAGCTTCTGGATCAATAATCTCCATCTCAATCAGGTTTTTCGACCAGTGGGTCATTCCATACCAAAAACGTAGGTAATTGACACTAGGCCTACATCTCATAATTTAAAAATACTTTGTCATGTTACCTTCATTAATCTGGTACAATATTTTTGTCCCCTCACCTATCAACAAGATGCACTTGAAATTTAAGTTAGCAATGTGTAGACCTTATTTTATGTTTTTTCCCGATAAGAAAACAAGCAAAAATATGAATGTGACATGTATTTAAAGAAGAAATGTAAAGGATAATTCTTCACTAAAAAGTTCTTCTATTTAAAAATTCTGCCTCTGCTTTATGTTCCTCTTAGCAGGTAAAAATAAAATACATTTCTTCCACGTTACTCTTCACCCATTCAAAAATTTCCTAGGGGTAGTGAATCAAGTTCTTTGAAGGCTTGCGTTAGCTACAAGTCCTTTGATGGTTACTCCGTGTACAGTAACGGACCTTTTCCATCGCAATGAATTCCATCCATGGCAATGAATTCAGCTGGATCTTGGAAATTCTCCTAGTGATACGTGATATCTATCCCTCCCTCTCTGTCTCTTTTATATATGTGGATTCGGAGGGCCAACGCATGTGTGACCCGTTTGAATTGCCGCGCAAAGAGGGCTCTTTCTAGACGATTGTCAAATAGTATAGAGAGAATACAGGACGCTTTCCCGTTCTTCCACGCAACCGATGCAAACAAGTTCTCACTAGCGCTTCTAGTGTCTGAACCTGGTACTTCGCCAAATAAAGACAACACGATTCTTACGGAAGAAGTACATTTTTTTGAAATTGACCTAATGAAATGACTCGTTTTTACCTACTTTTTTGTGACTTAATTATATTGAATGGCTCAAATTGCGGAAAATAATGTACAAAAGAGATGCTTTATATATTCCAAGAATAAAATAGTTACGAATGCAAGATTATTCTTGCCTTAACACTTCCAGTGATGCATTTGGTATTTTTTTTTCATTTGCTTTTTTAAAAAGCACTGTTTCAATACATTGATACCTCTTCTTACATACAAATTAGTTCACTCCTCACATACAACATTTTTCAATTGAATATTAATGGTTTGTATTAATTGTTTTTTGACAAGTTCACTGTGACGTAAACAATTTTAAAAGTCTCTGTCGAAAACATACTTAATCTTAGAAAACAAACAAATAGCTAATTCATTTAGATTGAAAAGAGTGGATTCACATACTGCTCCGTCAGAATTTGCGAGTTTCTTAATTTATGCTTTTCATCTACATTCGATAAAGCATTCTCATGTGAAGGACGAAAGAGAGTTCTTTTTCATTTCATAATTAAGACAGCCAAAACTGCAAACATTTTTCGTGCCATAAGGAAGGATGCCAAGAACAGTGTTGTAAAATAAGTTTTCGAGAAGTTGACCAGAAAGAAATCAAATTAAAAGAAATCGAGCAGAAAACAAACACTAACTAAACTAGAACAGAAACTAAACACTGAGCTTAGGCTTAAAGAGCTTTCACCAGGTTCTGCCACTTGATGGAGCTGGCATCAGTGTTTCTCGACATATCGCGAAGTGTTCTGTATTGTCTCCATAGTATTTGGTGTTGTCGAATATCCAGTGGGAGAGGGGAGGTAGCCCTTGCATTAGCGAGAAAGTAGGAGAGGAAGAAATTACCAGAGGACAGTTGTAACGGCTCCTTATCTCGTCAGCAGTGCGAAAAGGGTGTGTTGATCATAGGCAGAAAGTATAGGACTTGTAGAGAGAACGTGCGAGTGATTCGCAGTTGACAGCAATCGTCGTGCAGTTATTCAAATGGAAAAGTAGGATTTTAGAATGCATTGGTTTGAATGAACTGTGAAGTAATAGTACGTAGAATAATTCTGAGTTTCTGAAAGTGAAACACGAACTGTTAGCAAGGCAGTTACGATCTAGTAATTTGTATGATAAGTGAATTTTGATAAAAGAACTTGCGAACGAACTACATTTCATTTATGAGCGCATGAACTATATTTAAATTTCACGAAAGCCTAAATCGTTAATAAATAGCTCTAGAGTGACGGTGCGACGGACGAGGTGAAGCGGAAGACTTGGTGGGAAGACGACTGGACGAGGTCGAGGACGGGATTCATTTGGATCTCCTCATTCCTATATCTCACAAAAACTTAATTTTGGACTCCTCATGTGATGATGGAAAAGTTGATCGTGTATCAGCCACGTTCGCGCGTTCCTTTGCATCATTTGGTACAGTAGTTGCGTCTTCTGGCGGTCCTAAAATGATAATGCACATGTTTTTTTTCCATTGCCAGAAAATTTTAATGAAGACGGTAGCGAAACATGCGCCAGTCCGACTACCATACTTAGGGCTATTCGAACGTCTTTCAACCCGTCAGTTTCGGATTTAAAATCCGTTACCTGAGTTTCACATTTCTTAACCTCTTTTTCAAAGTCGAATGCCAATCTGACCATTCTCTTCTATCTGTTTAATAGTTGCCGTTAATTCATTTATATTTTCCGTTACGTCAAATACTACAGCACGCGATACTTCATAAATCTTGTCGAGTATTTCAACTACATTCTGCTTCTGCGCCTCAATTTTTTCCGCACTCACGATCCACTTTTTCGTCGGCTCTAGCCGTTGTTGGGCGTTCAGAACATTGTTCGTCGGCGACCTTCCGGCCCTCCTTGTACGCCTTGTGCCCCCTCCCGGACTGTGACCTTGAACTGCAGTCGTCCTTGAAGGCCTCTTGAAGCATCGAGAATGTTTCAGTTGCATTCTTTCCAAGCTTCACGCAAACCTTGATGGCGTTTCGCTGTTCCAGCGAATGCTCCATCGCGCCATGTTAGAAAGTCGAAAAGTACACTTCACGCGGAGGCACGTCTTCCCGCCCACACTGCTCGGAGCAACTGGAGACCGACTGCGAGGGAGAGGCAGACCACCACCATATTTCCCTATCGGTTTTACTGCGCTGCCATGGATAGTCGCATCAAAATAAAACCATGCGCATTACTTTCATAATAGATTATATATATATATATATATATATATATATATATATATATATATATATAGTGATTTACTCACGTATACACATGAGTGTATCCGAAAAACGCTGGAACATGATTTGGAAATGCATTAGGAGATGCTGGACGGCTTGGGAACAGCTCAGACTCTTTAAGTTGAGAGAGAGAGAGATATGAGGGATGGTAATATAGAATAGAGAGAGGGGTATAAAGTGCAGGAGTGAGAGACAGGTGATACTGGAGGGGTCGCGAGGAGTTGGACAAGACCAGGCAGACGGCGAGAGACGTGCGAGACGCATGTCAGAAGAGTGACCGGGAAAGTGTAGTAGTAAAAGAATTATAAGTTAACAAAACAATGAAAATGTACGAGTAAATTGCAATTATAGTGCCCGTAACACGTAAAATAAGTGGTTTAAGCATCTCAGGGGCAGCTAACGGATGCTACTGAGAGGAGAGCAGCTGAGAAGAGAATTCAGCGATGCTCTAATCCAGCGTTTGCCAACTGGCGGAGAAATGACGTTGGAGCTCCGTTCTCCTCCCCGAGCCCTGCTCGAAGAAGCGGTGCGAGTAAGGAGGGTGGGAGGAAGAGACAGATAGCAGTCTCCTATAAAAAAACGGGCATTTAAATGAGAGACAAACTACAGCCGTTAATTTTCTTTCAGTTTGGGAAGAAAGATTTCCTTTTGTAGATACCGCAACAATGGCGAAGTGTTTAGTGTATTCTAAAGAACTGCAGTATGTTAGAGTTCAATCGACAGAAGCATTACGCAACTTTGCAACTCAGAGAAAGCCGTGAGATGAAAATAAATTCTGAGAATTTACATATTGCCTGCAATGATGAAATGAGAAAAGGATTTTGCAGATAGAAGATCATGGAAAAGGAATTGATAATCACTGGCATATACAACAATCTTAAACAAAACTACTGTAATCATCGTGAAATTGTAATTTTTTTTGCCATTAACAAACTCTTAACTGTGGTGGCGCAATTCGGACGTCGGGCACGTTTCAGTCACTGAAGCAGCCCTTTAATGGTGAAAACTGGCAAAGTTTGAAACTACTCTACCTAAAATGATACTTGTAACATTGCATTGCATATTCATTATACTGCGATTTTTCGAACTCTGCTCCTCAAGGCCCTACTTCACAGTGGCATTATGTCACCGCTAGATGCCGCATGATCGCGACCGCATCCAGCACTTCTGTACGCAGTGATTTCAACTATATAAACGATCTAAAACGGCAATCCTGGAGATCCTTCGGGAGCTTGACACCTGATTCTGGTGAGTTGGCAAACCTAGAGCGTATTCCAATGTGTCTATTAGTACGTGTTTGGTGCGGCATGGTAAAGTTGTGGATTTATTTCGGTTAACTTTGCTTTTAACAAGAAACACAATGGTCAAGTAGTGTGTTGCGCGTGGTTCCAAACAACTCCAGGAAAACCGGAAGTAGGATTCAGTTTCGCAAGTAGAAATTTCTCTTTCCAAATGTATTTAAAATTACGCCACGGTGCGATATTGTATCACAACTCTTTAACTATAAATACTATATAAATATGTACTGTATTTCTGCTTTACGCTGATTCCTCCTTTCTCAATCAGAAAATTTGATGAAACGGATTCATGCTGTCCGAAGAGAAAAATGGAAACCATCCATAAGTAGCACTCTGTAGCAAACATTTTCTTGAGGATTGCTATCAGGTTAATATTAATTATAGTATTAATTTGACGCTGATCTGTGTTTGTAACAGTTTTTGCGAAGTAAATTTACCTCACCTGTATATATGCTTATTATTTCTTACATTTGTAGGTTAGACCAGGAGTGAAAGTCATGTTACTGAAATAAGATGCAGTTCCTTCTCTTCGATATTCCTGTTCATCTCGGGGAAAAATCTCGGAAGCAGCCTTTAATGTTATTGAAACCTTCTAATGTCATTGTAAGTAATTAGGGAACAAGTTTTATATTTTTACATATAGTCTTTATTCCAATGAAAAATCTATGAGAGTAAGAATTTTGCTTAAACAATATGATACCAATTATTGAATTGTTAGACCACAATAACAATGAATTTGTATGTATTACAGGACAAAGAAGGCTATTTTGATTTGGAAGTTGATTTTCAGTGCAAAAGTAGCAAACAAAAATGCCAGGAGACACAGACAAACCCTTTGCCAGTCACCGACCGGCGACCACAGCCATCCTGAGGATCAAAATTAAACTTCTGCAAATGAGACTAAATCCCAGGAATAAGAAGACTGGTAACGTAGCAGAATTAATCGACGGATTGAGAAAGAAAGGTCATTCAAATTCTGTATTGGAAGCAGCTCTTGAAGAGAAGTTTAGAGGTTTTCTGTTTGAGTTTATCAAACACCAATATCAAAATTCAAAATGTTATAAAAAGGGAAGACGGTACAGTGACCTTGTGAAACAGTTGTGCCTGACTTTGCACTTTAATTATCTCTTTTAAATGAAAACAGTGACAAGATGTCACATTTGAAGGAATGTGCTTTTGCTAACAAGTAAAGAACCTCAGCTTATGTCAACTTGGGTGGTATAGCATGCCACCCAAGTAGAACTAGCATAGGAGGCCAGGGTCCAAAAATGTATGGATCATTTATAAATTCTAGGTTCACATTTATTATTTTAAACTTTAATAATTATTTCTATGGTTGCTATATAATTCTGTGATTAATTACGTAGATTTACACGAAACAAAATTGCTGAAATAAATTGTAAGAGAGTTTTCCACACTTCGATTAAGAGCAATTACGAGGAATGTCACAATAAATGAAAATGGAATGAAAAGCTCTGTAAAATAGAAATTGAATAAGGTAGTCATATTTTTGAATGTGTCATGATATTAAATATTATGAACTATAATTTTGTTTTATAGATAATGTAGTTCCCGAATCTCCCCATTATTTTCAATTTTAGATAAGAGATGTATAAATTTAATCAATTATGTCTACGAGAGGGTACAAAGCTGAAGAGCAAAGACAAATTTGATTCTTGATTGAAATTTAGGAAATTAATTTAATGCGTATTCCTTTATAAGTATTATTCCGGCATTTTAAGAAAACTAAATTTCTTTTTTATCGAGTTCATGTTAATGATAATTTAGTTAACTTGAGATATTTGGTTTGTAAGCTATAAAATTTAAATTAATTATATTTATTATTTTTACAACTTGTGCTTTATTATTACTCATTCGTATTCCCTTTCGGTCCCGACGAAACTTCGGGCATCTCTCACGCCCCAGTACAGGTACTGTAATACGTCAGAGAGAGAGAGAGAGAGAGAGAGAGAGAGAGAGAGAGAGAGATACAAAGCTACGCTCGGCAATATATGTTCTGACGAATGCCCCAGCTAGTAATTTGCAAAATCGCCTGTTGGGGACCTCGCAGATATCGTGCTCTTGCGAGCTTGTAATACCTCAGGGCAGTGGGATCTTTTGGGGTGTTGAGAGCAAATCCGAAACAAGAACATATAAATCAGTTAAAGAGGGTGTAATAATCGTAAAACCCTTTTCGTTGCTTACAAAATCACACCAAAATCAAAAATGAAACAGAATAGCACCAAAAATTGAAGCCCTCTCTCAATGAAACATTAATTAATCACTAAAATCTTTACACAAATGATCCCTGGGAATTCCCTTTGTTACTCTTACTAATTAAATTTGCTACAATTCCTATTTACATTGACCAATGACATAATATACATTTGAACACTCTTCTCAAATAACTTTGCGGCAAAAAACGTGTGCAGATGCACCACACTCTCTACTACGATTTCGCTGTGGCCGCAAACAACATAAATTAATACCGATCTATTTACAATTTCGTAGGAAAAAGTGCTTTTAAAATGGCGAGAATCTCTGAATGATACTCAGCTAGGTCCCGTGTCCCGATTTCACTCACAATTTCTCGGTTAACAAGTCCTCCCTGGTCGTGGTGACATTGACTAAATTCAGCTCTTTCGCGCCGTTACCTCTCGCAGTTGCGTCCTCTCTGCTCCAACGCTTTACCTTGAGCATTCCGACGCCGGCGGAGACAGCTGCCTTCGGCCTCCGCGCAGCCGATCGGGGTCCCTGGTCGACGGTGATTTCTCGCTACCCTCTTGCGTCGTCATCCGCTCTTGTTCTCTCGGTGCCTTTCGTCCTCGTCTACTTCGTCTTCTTCACTAGGCGTCTTTCACCTCGTGTACTTCGTCTTCTGCGCCCGACGCCTTTCGTCCTCGTCTAATTCCTTCCCCTCTTCGTTTACGCCCGCGTGCGAATGTCCCTTGCGCCGCAATGAAGAACTTGTGCGTATTTCGTGCGTACGCGTAGCCCTCCTCGCACTGTCTCAAATTTCGTTGCTGATTGAAATTCACTTTCTCTCAGCACGAACTATTTCCCTATTGTACTGTCATCTGCTTCACAATAACTGATAGATTCTCAATTAACTCGCGTCTCGTTCGAAGAAATACTTTCTTCCAAGAAATTCTAGCAAAAGTTCGCGGACGGCTATCTAGGCGGCTGACTGACGTCCAATACTCCTACCTACTCTCGGCGCAGTTGTTGCTGAATCGGCGATCAAGAACTGAAGAGAGTGCTGCTGGCTCGGCGACCGGGAATGAAAGAGGATGACTGATCGTGGGCTAACTTATTTATTCATGCACCCTCCGTGTAGAGCGCGTCATCTCCCCCCGTCGAGTCTGACTGCTTCTACGTCATATTCCTGCGCCGTGCCGCGGACATTGCGCGCAACAGTATTATAAACTTTGGGCGCGCCCTTTTCAAATTGCGCCGCTCTCGCTCACCCGGTCTACAACAAGCACTGTCCTGATGCGTGGGCGTGTGGGACGAACATATGCCCTCACGTTCGTCATATATATATAAAACCCAAAGGTGAAAATAACCTCAGTCGCTAACGCGCACTTCCCAACACTGAGATAACTGAGACAAGTATGCCGCGCTTCCCAACACTGAGACAACTATACCGATCAGTAGAAATTAACACATTGCGATCAATAGTAGGAAAGACCAGGAGAAAGGGAGGGTAAGAAATCGAGATGTAAGAATCCAGTGTAAAATAACTGATACTACCAAATTTGTGAAAATAAGGAAAAAAGAATGGAATGGCCATATCACACGAATGAGCGGTGACAGACTAGTAAAGATAGCCAGGAATATGATACCATCAGGAAGGAGAAACCATGGTACAACCTACATAGAAGAACTACAACAACAACAAAAACCAGAACAAGAACAAGAAGAAGAACAAGAAAACTTTCTCATAAGTTTTAGGATTTAAAATAAGTCACACTTCTTTTTTATCTCTAGTCCCACGTCTTTCAGAAATAATACCAATTATTTTTTCGTAATCGTCCTATGCACGCTAATGTTTAAACATTTTCACGCAAATGCCTTCTCCTACAGAAACTAGTGGTGCTACAGAATAGCACAGACTTTACCTTACTAGTTTTCTATTTTCTTTGATCTCTGCTAGCTACTCGGATTTGCCACATAATCTTGCCAGCTGCCATCTATCGCCGCCCAAAGTAAACTTTTGACATTTTCTTAATTTTTCGATTTCCTAATAGTAGAACGGAAATATTATTTTAATATTAATAAAGAACATTAAAACCTCCTCCCAAATTGAAATTTCCTTTGAAATATTTGGAGTCCTTTTTAAGAAAATTGGGTTTAAACGCTACGGTAGTTTCGAAATTTGAACTCGGAAAACTATTAAGTTTTCGAAAAACTTAATTTGACATCATTACAAAAACTTCCAGTCACAAATGCAATAGTATTTACCAATCGCTGTAAATGTACAAATTAAATGCGTGAAAAAGTCTTTCAAAAAAATAATGTTAATGTATTTTAAACAAACCGAAATGAACTTTACATCATATTAAAGAGTGCAATTTGCACTATCCCTTCGAAAAGTTTGAAGAAAAAATTGAAGCAATTTTTAAGAAAATGGCGTTTGAGCTTTTCTGAAAATGAGGACTTTAAGCCAGTTTTCACAAAAAGTGCTTGAGTTTCCGAGAAACTTCTTTTACATTATTTAAAGCACATGTACTCATAAATATAATAATGTGAACAAATTGCCACTAATGTAAATATTAACGACGTGAGACAAGTCAAAATTAGTTAATTTTTGCATTTTTGGAAAAAACAACAAAATAATAGACCAATATGGTGTTTCTCTCATTTTGTAGAGTACATTTTGCACTATCCCTACCAAAGGTTTAAGAAAAAAATTTCAGCTGTTTTTGACATAATCTTGTTTTTGTATTTTTTGAAATTGCAAATATTTCACGCAATACTGCGCGAAAACTACTAAAAATTTCAAAGAAATGTTAATGACATTAATGAAAGAACTAATTGTGGACAACAAATTTAATTTGATGGAAAAATCTTTATCTTCAATTTTGTATTTGCAGGATGACATCGAAAAAAAAATCATACTTTTCAAATTTTTGAAACTTTGGAGTTAACGGTGAAGATCGGACCTTTGTCAATTTTGTGTTTATTCTTACAAGAAATTTAAAGAAAAAATTTGGAGCTGTTTTTGAGAAAATTTTGAGTGTCCGGAGGGCTTTATGTAAAGTATCCCTAAATTTTAGAGAATGTTTTAAAAAATCTCGAAGCTTTGACTTGAGGCAGATGGATAGGGGTTTCGTCAATTTGGGAAAAAGCCTACGCATGGTTTAGGCGCTAGTGGTGTTCACAGACGGACAGACGGAGAGAGAGAGAGACGAATACAGACGGACAGAGAGACGGATACAGAAAGACGAACGAACGTTTTGAAAGAACCACGTTTTCGATGTTAGGGTACCCTACAACGTGTATTTTCGTCGAAATCTCGAATTCGATTTTCTGCACTTTCTCTATACTACGCACGTACTCCACGTATACGGGAAAGTAAAAATCAACTCTGAGCGAATCTGGCATTAACTTTTTGTCTCGTCACTCGATGCAGTTTTATCCCGTGTCACTTTATCCCGTCAGTCAGGGGCTTTAGCAGTGACGCTCTGGCAAACGTAGCAGCAAATAGCAAACCGTCATTTTTGAAATGAAACAATATCTCATCCATCAAAGTCATTCCCTGGTGAATGTTGAGATGGACATCAATTCCAGGCAAAGGCAATTGTACTGAATACTATATATTTTTCTAACTCATAAAAATTCTTACTCAAAAAATCGAAATTATTTGGAAATTTTATCATAAGTTAAGGTTCATTACTTTTTAAGAAGAGTCCAAAATTAATGAAGATTAATATTTTCCATAAATTAATGCACAGAGAATGTAAATGTTTATTTATTGTAGTATAGTAATGTCGTTATGCAAATATAAATAAATTGTTATTATTTTGAAACAAATCTTTGATAATTCTAAACTAATAAAACACTGCAAATTAACTAGTCTTCGTTTTTGATACATTTACCAAATAAATAAATTAATAAAATATTTGGGAGCATTGTCGGGAGAATTTTGCCCTGTCTTCAATCTTAAAATTTGACGAAATTCCTTGTAGATCGTAATTTTCATTGTATTCCAAAAGAATGTGGAAAAAAATATCGATAAGTTTTGAAGAAGGGTTGAACTTTCCAACGTTGGTATCCATTGTAGTCTTTCGCCTGCGACCGATTGAAATTAATATTGTCGTTGCACCGACGAAGTAAAAAGGGAATTCCCCTTCCTCAGAAAATTTGAATTGGCTTATCATATTCTCATAATTGTAATTCATCGAATTTAAATTCACGAGTGAAGAATACTTCATCACATTATTTATATTCTACATCTAATTAATTACAGAACAATGAAGCCTTGATAAAAGTAGCATATGAACCAGTGACTGTTCGTTTACACTTATAATTTGAATTTGCGCCCTTTTTTTCAGGCTAGACACGCACAAGGTTTCTCCCCGTGAAGGACGAAACATCATATTTTGTTTATTTGTATTAAATACAAAAACGGATATTGTATGAATTTCTTATAATCATATATTTTTAAATTATTGGAATAAATGGATTGATTTATATCCTAATTTCACTTAACAGTGTTTTACCTAAAACTAACTCGTGAAAGAGAGAGTAGTGGCTAGCATGGAAGACAACGTACTGTGAAAATGCGCAATACATGCATACCATTCATCCACCATGTAAATAGAATGGTGAGCGTGTATGTATTGGATATTTGTGGTGATTAATAACTTACAGGTTTTACATCTTTCATAATGATGTAATGTGACTGGGACATGTGTTGTTAACTTGTTATTAGACATTTATTTGTAGTGACAGTTGCGAAAATGGCGGAATTTCCTGGATCAACTTTAACCGGTACGATGTTTATTATACGTCAGTTCGTCTTCGCATTGTGCGGTACTCAGAGTGTTTCAGAAAAATTTTCATTTGTCATTTCAGACTCCAGCGATGAGAGTTCTGATGAATCCCCAGAACCAAAGCGCCCTAGAACTGTTTTTTCTCACCAGGGTCTTGGGTCGGACAGTAGTGAGTGTCATAACCTATATAGTACTATTTTCATTCAAATTATTATTGAAATTTATTTTAATTTTTTTTCTTTTTAAGTGTTTTCTGACAGAGGGAGCACTGACTTAAGTTTACCTGATGAAGACGGAGTACCTAATTCTAGTGATGATGAAAACATAGCATCTAAAATGATGAAGGAAATGAAACCCAAAGCCTTTGTAGATAACAAGGCTCAAAAAATGATGGTATGTACATAGTTTTGTGATTTGTTATTTCTTAATATTCAAATTTGAGTTCTATGCAGCTTCCCTATGTTGCAGTTCTTTCCTGAATTGTAATCATGTGTGACTTACAAAATTCAATATTGACAGGAAATTTCATGGATTTTTCAGAGATTTGTGTGTGAATTTATGCTTTTAGTTGTAGTTTCATACTCATTTGTTAAGTTTATAGTTTGATTGGTATTCCTTGGATAATGAAAAGTTGTTACTTACATTCCAAAATGGAATCTTGACAGAATTTCTTAACTAAATTATAGAGAGCGGTGATGAAATATTGTCAGATTAGAAATGGTGGACAAATATTCAAGATAACTAGTTGAAGATCGCTTTATCCACAGTGCATTATTGTGGAAAATAAAATTCTTTAAAATTGCTATTTGTCAATATTTTACATCTAATAATAGTTTCTATTTATTTTATTCGTTTTTTTTTCTTTCAAGTCAGCTTATTGGTCCTTGCAGAGCTTTATGAAATGGTTTTTTATTCTGTTTTTTGGTGGCAGGATATAGAACAAATTATTTGGCTTTCCAAGTACTAGTACCTATGTCAATATATGACTGGAGTGTATTTAAAAATTCAAGGTTTTGATAACACATTGAATTTTTTTTTCTTTTAAAATATGTTTTGTGTTCTAAGGAAGCAGGTTTTTATTATTACTATTTTTTTGAATTCTTTTGAAATTTGAAGTTCTAACTTTCTTTCAGAACTTGATTTAATTTAAATGAATTGTATTTTGGATTGGTTGGATACAGTAGTGTCTCATCATTGCCATTTTGACTCTTTTTGAGTCCAATAATTTTTCCTACACCACTTGTTAACTTCAGTACACGATTATTGATTTATCTAGAAAGGTATCCACTAAATCACCTTGTTCATACTGTTTGCCTATCTGGAATTTATTTAATTCTTCATCTTTCATATTATTATTTTCAAGTTGGATTATTTGTGCAATTTTCTTGAAGAATTACGTGAAGGTGACTTCTTGTGGATTACGTGAAGGTGGCTGTGTTCAGATTAGTAACTATTTCAAGTGCCTGTCAAATGAAAAAAAATAATAAATTATAGACTATATCTTAAGATGAAATAACTTGCTGGTGTGAATGAAGGTTTTATTATTTACCATTGCTTCTTGATATCCACTCTAAGTTCAAGTACTGAAGCGAAGGCATATTTTTAAATTCCTGTGTAATTATTACAAATTTAGAATGCACTTGAAGTCATTGAATTGAATGAACTTGTTTCTCCATTTATCACCAGACATTATTTCTCTCAGTATTTTTGTCAGAAGAATGTGTGTGTTGTTCTCAGAAGAGTAATGTTGGTAATTGTTTTTCTCTGTTTTCATTTTTTATCATTATTTTTATTTTATCGTCATTTAGCACTGCTATTTTGTAGTTTGATTCCTTTTGGGTGATTTTGAAACAAGTCGCTGTTGCATTGGTTTTTCTTGGTTTCATTTTGTGAGATTTTATGAATTTCCTAATATTCATTGATTCTTCTTGTTTGTACAGACTTCTGTAGGTTGGAAGTTGTTTACAGACACTTCTTCATAGTTTTTAATACACTATACCTTGTTTTATGACACTCGGAGATGTCTTGTTGCATATTATTAAAATTTTTTCTCAGAGAAGCAGAGTTTTTATATGTTAACCCTGATTTAACTTCTTTGTTTTATTTTTTAAACTTTTAACATACGAGTTCATAATATTTTATTAATAATCAATGTAATAAGGTTCTGGGTGAAAATTATAAGTTTACATTAAAGTTTTGTCTGGTTTATATTTTCTGTATCAGCTTCAGAACACAAATTATGTCACCAAGAAAACTGACAGGCGTAAATTTTTTCAACATGTCCTCTGTAAAAAGTAAGTCACCCAACTTGCTATATTCCATGATATAAGTTATATCCTTGAATACTCACTACACAGTGAATTTTTGAGTAGAAGGTGTCACATAATTTGAGGGCAGTCACATATACTCATTTCATTGTACTCAAGTGTGTAGTAGATCTTCAAAAAAATTTAACTCTCAGAAGAGAGATTCAACCTAATGCTGTTTGCTAATATCTTTGAAGCCTTGTTAGCTGGAGATCACATTAGCAGGTACCTATTATTCTGGCATTCTCTTGGGATGTAAAGTAATTTTATTCACCATTTGATTTCTCATTCTGATTATGAGGTGAGGTAGAATTTTTCACATTGAATAAAATACAATGAAGACTTTTCCACAATCTCTAGTCATATAGGGAATATTACTGCACACGAGTTCAGTACAATTATCTTCAAAGAAAATTTGATATTTAGGAACTTGTACATGTTAAAACTAGTAAATGTCCTATCCCACACTTTCCTGTATTTGTGCCAATTACACCAAGTTCTAATAATTATATTGCAACTTTTATAGATCTTATCATTTTAGCCGCCTCGTACAAAACTCTTTTCGTGCTCTTCTACAATGTCTGCATGTTAAGAAGAAAGAAAGACCCTGTACCAGGGCTCACCTATTACAACCCATCTCACAAGGCAGGCAGACACATTAGTACTATTTGTATGTATGTTATGGTTATTTAATGTAATAATTAGCGGACTGATTTTGATGACTTAAAACATCACCAAAAATGATCATTAAAATGCTTTTAATAGTAAAGAAAAAGGACATTCAAAATTTGACTTATCTTGGAATCATTACGTTAGAAAAACTGAGGAAAGACATGACAGAGATAAAACCAAAACTCAGATACAAATAGCTTTACAGCATACGGACACCAGAACTATCAGAAGACAGGCCACATCCCCCAATGCAAAAATTGCTAGAAATTATTTCACAACAGGTCTTACTGCGAACGCCAGACCATCTGTGCTCTCTGTGCCAGTCCCCACCCAACCGAAACCTGCCCCCCTCCTACAAGCTGCAAACCCCACTTACAAATGCCTTTAATCACCCCACCTATGATCCCTCATGCCCTTACATCCACCAAGAATGTGAAGTAAGACACAACAACTACCCACTCACCCCATCCTCAATTTAACTCCCAATCTTTCCCTCAATTCGGATCTATGTCCCAATCCTATGCTTCTGTAGTAAATCCATCACTTCCAACTCAAACCCAAGAACTCCAAACCCAACAACCTCATCATCATTTAATGACCTCAAAGATCTTTCTTTCCTAATGTCATCCAACCTATCCAAAATCTTCAAAAATATCAGAAATATTCAAAGGCCCAGAGGGTATCCTCTAAAAACTCCTAGTAGGAATGAAACTTGCAGAATTGGCAAACAGAATGGCTCCTTTCCGTCGTTTCCTAACCCTTTCCTCATGGAATGCACCTGGCGGTCTTAACCTCCAGAAACCCCTCCTTTTCCAATTTCTAAAAAGAAGAATCCTAAAGAGAATTCCGACAGGATTCTCTGTTTACAGGAAACATGGTTAAAACCCAACCTATCCTTTTCCCAGAAGGATCCTCGCCCCATCCCTAACAGAAGCACAGCCATCCTCATCCAGAAAACATTCCTCACACCAGATATTAACTCCCCAATACCACTGCCTTGGAGTGTTCTGCTGTAATCATAAGAACTTACATAACCTCCATTGTTATATCCACCTACATAAAACCTCACACACCCTTACCTGACATCGACCTTTGTCCTCCTCAACCTCTTTCACACCTTCATTCTTGTATTTGTATTTAGCCATTATATGTCCTGTAAAGGGCCATATAGGAGGAGGTTATAATAGGCAGAAAAGCCTTTGAATGAAGAGCCAATAACAATATTGGCAGTCATTCAAAATGAGCACCAACAATAATGATATGATACTATCTTTTTTTTGTGTTATTTTCCAAACCTACCCCCTCCCTATCTCTTGGAAACTGCTCACTCGAAATTGGATGAGCTAATGTTGAAGAAGCTGAAGTAATCTCAACTACATACTTACTCATGTTTCAAAGAGCCTTTGTATAATTTGTTCAGAATCGGTGTTGGCTTGTGGCTGTGAAGTTAGGTAAAGAGCTAGTATGAAACTTTACAGATTTACACTGCATATCTTAAAACCCGAACTCGCTTATTTCGTGTATACCAAACAATTCCAGATTGTTAAAGACTTGATCGTCAGCTATTATACACCCTTAACTTGTATTTAAAGATGTGCATAGGGGCATCACACTATCATCAACAGCATCAAAACTTTATGCAAACACGTTGAGAAACCGACTCATTGTAATAGCTGAGAATTTTATGAGAAAACAGTGTGGGTTCTGGAAGGGAAGAAGCACTAAAGATGCCATCTACACATTACAGATAATAATAGACAAAAGACAAGACAGAAACTTATCAACTTTAGGATATTAATAGATTATGAAAAGGGATATGACAGAGTAAACAGAAAGAAACTCTGGGAAATACTAAAAGAGGACAAAATTCCAAATCAATTACTCAACACAATCCAGAGTTTATATGAAAACTCCGAAATGAAAATAATGTTCAGAGACTGGAGAAAGTCTGCAACAATAACAACCAGTAGAGGCCTAAGACAGGGATGTGGTCTGTTACCTACTCTCTTCAACATATATATCAACCACATAGTGAGAAAATGGAGGAATAAAATTAAACATGGTATCCAAATCAGGAAAGACAAAAAGATAGATACAATCATATACGCTGACAATCAAATAATCATAACAGATTCTCAAGATATCTACAAAGATATCTTCAGAAGGGTGGAGAACTTTTAATGTACTGTAATTTCGTATGTAATGTAATGTTTACCATTTGGACTGTATAAACAACCTGTAACAATATTCTACCTCAGCTTCTGGGTCATTGACCCCTGATTATTTCTCGTTTCCTTGATCCCTTGGGCAAATGCTGAGATAGCCCCTTGTTTTGCTTCTGGACATAAATATAACTTTATTAACTGTGCACGGCTTTGACAGTTCACTAGGAAATATAGCGAACCCTGCATTCTTGGGGATAGATAAAGCTCTCCTATTTCTCCAAACCTTTATATTGAACAGATCCTTATGTGTTAGTGACAATCTGTCTAGAAGTCACCCTCTTGAAAATGTCATCTCTTAAATGTCAATGCTGAGGGTCATTCTATTTGCCATTGCAATAAATGGTATAGCGTTGACCATGCTAGAATCTGGAAGAGAATTGCTGTTTGTAGATAATTTTGCAATATTTTGTTCATCCAGCAGCATGAATGTCACCCAAACGTACCTCTAAATGGTGCTTAAAAAGCTACACAAATGATGTGTTTCATTGGCTTCAAGTTTTTCCACTATAAAATCATCTGCAAGACATTAAATGCATAGCAATCTCGATCTCTACCTTGGAGACCATTAGCTTTCATTTGCTGAATTGGCCAGGTTCCTCAGTCTGATATTTGATAAAACCGCCTTATGTGGCTTACTTGCATCCATATTCTGCAAACCAGAAGTCTCCCTCTGAAATCTTCTCCGTACCAAGTGGAACCTCTTGGGGAGCCAACCACATTTGTCTGTTGCGATTACATGGAGTATTCATCTGCTCATTTCTAGATTATAGCAATATTGTCTATGTATCAGAAACTTCCTCCACTCTAAATGTCTAGACCTACATCTACAGGTGCATATTGTTCTTGGAGGATTAAGTGCCTTTCGTCTGACACACCAGTAAGTCATTCCCAAATGGAAAACGGGAAATCATGATAGGGTCTTATGGTGCTAAAGTTTGGGGTATCTAGAACCATTCATCCCGGAGAACTATAATCCTTCATAGATATTAGAGCTCATGTTTTCTAAATCTTGCTGCCCCAGCTTCTAGAAATTCAGTTTCAATATTCATTGTTGGATCTAGATATCTGCTTTCCTACTCCTGTGAAACCCCTCAAGCAACATCATTCTCCCTTGGAAACATCTTTTCTCCGAAATTGACCTCAGATTCTTCAACCTTCTGAAATATACTACTTGTCCCCTTGTATATCAAATTCAGATTCACAGTGTGGGGGAAGCTAATCTCAAACATATATTCGTATCATGACACTTCAACCCAATGGTACCCTACCACAATTCTTGTAAAAATGTTAGGAACATTACATTATGAAACTTATCATGAAACATCTTGAATATTTACATTGTGAAACTTATCATTTCTCTGCTTTATTTGTTATGGGGAAAGTTAGTAAGAATGGCCATTTCTGTACAGAAAAATTTTAATTGTTTATCTTAACCACTATATCACTGCTTATCAATTGAATTAAATATTCTGTTGCATAATCTAGCTTCTGCAACTTAAAGGAAAACATATGCACACAGGAAACCATGCCCCTAAACAGCATGACTTTCTATGAAATAAGTTTTTTTTTAAAATTATTATTATACTGACTTAAGAAAAATAATTTACTTTCCATTCTCAAACAAAACTAATAAGTATAACATCACCAATTTGAACTAAATATTTCATAGTGTAACTGAAACTTTAAATCAATTATGTTGGAAATAACAGTTACATAGAAATGATAATGTATGTGTACAAATTGACAAATATAATTAAGTATTCATTTTCAGATTCCCCCCCTTTCCCTTATTTTGTTGTTGTAATGTCTATCATCATTGCATCCAAGAATACTTATCATTGCCTGTTTCTGTTATGAGAAACCCATCATAGCATTTGTGTTACTTGTATTTCCTTTTTTTAATTTTGAAGTATTTTGACTAATTGCCTATAACATTAACACCAATAACATACCTTACTACTCACTTTCTAAACTATTATTTAAAAAAATAATCTCTCTCCATGGGACACTTCCCTTCCAGCTCTCATGAAACAAGCGCATTCTCACTCACAATGCTCACTGCTTCCCCACCTTGTTCACCAACTATCTAATTTTCCTTCACTACTGAAACAAACTATGTTCTAATTTCACAATTGTTCAATCAAATTATTGTAGTCGTTAAATATTCTGTCGTTTTATTTTGCAAATTTTTATATATTAACTTCCTTAAACAATAGCCCTTGGTCTTCAACATCTTTTCCACGTAAATGTTAATACTGTTATAAATACAGTCCACTTTTCTCATGCCCTCAACAAAGGACTGTTAATAATCGCACCACAATCCTAGGATATTTAATTGTCTAGAAATTAATATTATTACAATATACATTGATGACTCATCTTCCATTGAATGATGCAGGGGCATTGAATTTTCATTTATTAGGAATATAAATTCACCCTGTGTGCAGTGTGTTCACTGCTGAGATGTATGGAATTCTCAAAACCTGTAGATAACGAGACATCGTCATTGCAGCGAGTAGCAATCTGCTTTGATTCTCTGAGCTCTCTTCAAGCCAACTCCTTTTCTTCTTCTGACTGCTGCTACTTGCTGGTAACAGTATAACACCTCATATGTTGTTTATAGTCTTGCAACAACAATCTACTTCTTTGTTGGATCCTGAGCCATGAGGGAATTGCAGGCAGGGAATGCTTTAGCTGACCAGACTGCAAAATCAACAGCTCAGATCTCTTGACATTGATTTTCTCACTGTCTCTTCAGCAGATTTAAAGGCATTTGTGAAACATGTAAGACAGCTTTGAAGAAAGTCCATCAACCTTGTGTGAAGTTTAATGGCAGCTGACAATACCCGTTTGGGCAGCTCTCTATGGGAGGTGTGGTAAAATGGATTGGTTTGTGTGTGCGTACATTACTTGGCCCTTACGCAGCCAGTGTTAAGTCTTGGATTGTTGCTATTATTAATTTTTATGTGTGTTTGCACTTACATTTCATTGAACTTCTGCGGCCTTTATATCTTAATTTTAAATTATATAAGTGGTTTTAATTAATGTGATAGTTGCATCTGCGACAGTGTGTTTATAATTTATATTATGGTTTTAAATTATTGGACGTGGGCACCAATAGCCATAGCTGTTGAAATGATCTTTAAATCTTAATCAAGCAATCAATCCAAAGAATTTAATTTAAACTCCTTGCCAGAATTATAACATAAGTATGTAAAGTATGCCTATATATTGAATAAAATGTGGATATATAGTGAGTGCAATATCAATTTTCTCTTGTGATGAAAGGATGAAGTAAATTGACAGGAAGAAATAATTTCCTTTGTGTAGCATTGGACTTCTTTAGTTTCTTCTTGTAGTTCTTGATGTATTTTATTTCCTGGATGAAACTGCATTACCAGCTGTTTGTATTATTAAATAATTGTTATTGCATTTATTGATCTGTACAGGAAAGAATGGGCTATAGAGCTGGAAAAGGTTTGGGTAAACATTCCCAAGGAATAGTCGATCCTGTTGAAGTTTCCAGACAACGAGGACGAAGAGGTTTGGGCTTGCATATTCCTGGATTGGAAGCAGCAGATATTGAATGGAACTCTGATCTAGAGGTAATGTAATTAGTATCTTACAATAATGCCTTTAATGATGCAGACCCTTTGGACACCAATACATCATTGTATTTTCTAAGATAATTAGTTTATTTTAAATTGTTTCACTAAAAATAATTTTTTAAAGAAAAAGTTGCTAAACTTACTTTTAAATGAGTGTGTAGTTTAAAGAGGGCTTCTTTTAGAAGTGATTTTTTTTCTAACATTTTCTATCTGTTTATAATGACTATTCCACTCGTGAAATTAAAACCAATTGTGTTTAACACGTGTATACATATAAAATCTCCAAAACAGGGCTATATATTTTTTAAAAATTAACGCTTTTTCTATCTGATTTTTCTTACTGCCCCTCCCTACTGGCCAATAATAAACTGTGGCTCATGTTTTTTAGGATGTATGTACCGATTGCTGTGTTGATGTGTAATAAATGTCTTACGTACTATAACATAACATCTTTGATTTTAATAAGCTTTCAGTTGTTTTCAATATTTGGTGCATTTTGGAACTCTGTTGGAGATAATTTCATTCGCGGAATAGTCCTATTAATTACTTCTTGTGCTCTGGAAATGCTCAGAAAATCTGCCTCCTTGCTTCGCTAAGTAGTGATTTTTCAACAATTTCCAAAGCACTCATTGTATTACCTATGATACTTAGTTAATATTTAAGAATATGTATAGTACTTTGTCATTTTTTTTCTTTGTATAAAGTTGTTAATAACTTCATAAATACTATTTTAAAACTTGCAATTAATATGATTTTGTGTTATTAATGTACAGGTAGTAAAAGTAGAAGAAGATGTATTTTGGCTGGAGGAAAAGGATCATACTCCTTTATCTGATGATGAATTCATTTCATGGTTCAAAGAGGGGCCCCGGAAACTTAATATTGAAGATGAAACTTTATTTTGTGACCCGAAAGTATTAAAGAGAGTTATTAGTAGCAAAGTAAGGAAATATTACTTAAACAATCCATAGAGTTCATTTTGGATTTGTCTTTGCTTACAAAATATTTTTTTCTACAGAGTGTATTTGACAGTTTGAATCCAGAAGAAATGAGGAAAGCACGAACAAGATCAAATCCATATGAAACCATTAGAGGAGCATTTTTCTTAAATAGAGCGGCAATGAAAATGGCTAACATGGATAAAGTATTTGATTTTATGTTTACTGATCCTAAAAATGAAAGAGGGGTGAGTATTACCAAATTCATTTGTCGAACCCCTTGAAGTAAGTGTACATTTTATGCATAGTAATGTGCTGATTAACATGAAGGGTAGATCAAAAGAATTATACATTGAGAAGTTGCCAACAAAAGTGAATATATTTTTAATTCTCTGATTTCCTAGAGACTTACCAGGGTGTCTGGTGGTACTGTCAGGAGCTCCCAGGAGAGCTATCTGCAGAGGCATCTTGCCCTGTGTCCTGACTTAATTGGGGCTCTGAATTTTTTTGCTTCATTCAAAACTAATCAAAATGTATTTACTTTTAATTCAAATTAATTGCTATAATTTATTTCCATTGCATGAAGAAATGAATTCTATTTTTGTATTAGGAGGTGGGTCTTTTTTTTAACTTCATTTATTTATAAGGGGTCCTCTTAATGCTTTTACTGTCTTTTGGGTGTTTGTCAATTACACGTATACAAGCAGATCATACAAAACTGTCATTCACAGATACCAATCAGGCCAAGAGATTATGGAAGGAGTAGGATTTTGATGTGATACGCAAGGAATTGGGAAAGACCCTACACCACAGACACAACTGAAAACCTTAACCTGTTTATTTGTAAATGTGTTACTGTTATTTATTATTTATCGTATTTACCTGAATATAAGACAATCCCCTAATTTTGAAGAGGCCTCATAAGAATTTTTAAAATTTTTAACTAATTTTTACTATTTAGTCAAAGTAAAATTACAAGATGTCTTATCGACTAGAAAATTACCTTGCTGATGAGAATGTTAAGAGTTATTGCTGAACTGTTATTCCTTAATATCATCACAATCATGGTTTTTGTCACTACCCTCATCATCTTCACTTGTGTCAATGTTTCCATCTTTTTGGTTCTCCTTCCATGCTGTGACTTTTTCCGACTTTTTAGGCCCCACTTGAAAGTATTGTGGACTAAATGTTGCATTGTTTATAGTCTCATGAGACACCATCTAAGAATGATTCCTTCTGTCACCAGATTTTCTATCTGTCCCGCACTTGTTGATGGCCTCTGATTCTGTTCAAAACATAAATTTGTATTTGCCGGGTGTCGAACCGAGATTCCATGCGGCCTCATCGAACTTGCATTGTGTAACAAACTCTCGCATTCATTTTCACATTACGTTTCATTCGATTAGAGATTCTCTTTACCAGCCCATTCAAAAATATCTTTCTGAATTGCATGACATATTTGCGGTGGAAGCTGAGAATGCGAAAGCAAATATTGTTGTGTACAGTTATGCGCAATAATTTGTACAGTCTTCGCAGTTTATTGTTATGTCAACATTTACGAGTTTCGTGACATGGATTGGCAATGTGAAAACTTAAATCCTAACCGACTAGGCTTAATCTACAACTATAAGGTGACTGCATTTTTTGGACTGAGATATTTCGGAAAAAACTTGTCTTATATTCAGGTAAATACGGTAATAATATAAACAAAATGTTAGAAAAATTATCTTTAGGCTAATGAGAAAGACATCACAATATGTTCAGTTGTGTTCGAAATGACATAATAACAAATACATAATTATGTACGATGCAGAATATTGAATTATTTTTTGCGTAATCTTTGACTGACTACAAGGCTATAAAAAAAAGTTGCGGTCAATTACTCTTAACTACTATTAAAAACTCAGAACGTACATCAGTCTTCTCAAGTGTGCTTGGGGGACAAGCTAAAAGTAAAAATGAACTGCAAATTGCAGTTTTTTGCAATTAAAATTATGTTTCCTTTTTGCCAGAAAGAAAGCATGCTGCTTTTCAATGTCTCTTGAAGCACAGTTGCCAAAATATCCAAGATATCTATTCAACTTAGGGTTTTTGTTTCAGGAGAGTATGATTGGTCCAAATGAATTACTGTATTTTGCTGACGTATGTGCTGGACCTGGTGGGTTCTCTGAATACGTTTTGTGGCGAAGAAAATGGAATTCAAAAGGTTTTGGTTTTACTCTTAAAGGAGACAATGATTTTCGTTTAGCGGACTTTTATGCTGGGCCCAGTGAAACATTTGAACCATACTATGGTAAATGATTTTTTAATAAAATGAAAAGATAGTGTAATTCAATTTTGATAATATTAAACTAAAGGTAGATGTTAGTGGAAATGAACAACTATCACTTTAGTTTCCTAATTTAGAAGTTCCAAAGTTGAAACTAAAATGTGATGAGAACTTCTTGTGGTAGTGGAATGCCTCCTTTGAAGACTTCACATTATAGTACAAACGTGAAATGCTATTGTGGATACAACTTGCCGGCAAACATTGATGGTGCATTATGATGTTTCTGGCTTTGGGTTGGTAGTGAATTTTGTGAATGGTGTTTTTAATAATCGTATGTTATACAATATATAATTTTGGAATGGTATTTACAGGGTGGCCACTTTCTGGAAAACTAGGAAAAATCAGGGAAATTGTAAAACAAACATTACAAGTCAGGGAAAATTTTGAGAGAGTTATAATACTTGGTATTATTAGATATTTTGTTTGGTGAAAAAACATTGTTAATTTGTACTTTGTCACAGCAAAATCAGAGCTGACCAATTAGTGTATGGGAAGCTTCAATATTTTTTTTTGAGTAGTGTGAAATTGCAGATCTTGTTAGGAAAAAATTTAAAGCATGTACTAAAAAACTGAGAAAAGTCTAAGACATTTGTTCCAGGAAATGAGTCCCCATCCTAATTTACTAACGGTTTGACACAGCAAAGGTTCAGTGGCCACTTTCTGGAAAACCAAGAAAAATCAGGGAATTTTGAAATAAATCAAGGATTTTAATTTTAATTTTTCGTTTTAAAAAGAATTAATTCCTTAAACCATGATAAAAAACAAACAAACATTAAGATGCTTGCTGCTTTCTGAAATTTGAATTTTGAATTTGATTACAAAGATTGTCTCATGTTTTTCCTCACTTATCAATCATCTTGGACCTTTCCTATAGGAATCACTAGAGCTCCATGACACTTGTCCAGTTGACCACACATTTGCCACCAGCATGGGGAGTCAGGCAGCCAACACGATGAATCACAAAAGTCACTTATGATTATACTCTCCAGAAAGGGCTCTGAAACAAAAGGCTAATTGGTGCTTGATGGCAGAGAGGTATGCACCTTGTCTCTGAGAATACATCATGCGTTGAATGTTCATTAGCAGGACTTGAATTTGTATATAATTACTAGAGACTGGATTTTAATATCATTAAAAATCAGCTAAATATGCAAGCATTTATAACCGCTGACATTCATTTCAAAATCTTCTTGTTAATTTTTATATATAACATAAATATAGATTTCACTCTTTCATTTGTCCAACTGGCATCCCACGGGCAGCATGTGGCCCGTGGTGCAGTGTGGCCAGCAAAAGTTTATTAGTCAAATGTGAAAGTCCCTTGCATCATTGTCTGGCGAGAACATTGTGCACCTAGTCCATGCACTGTCGAAGTCAACGCCCTCTTAATGTGAAAATAGGTTAAATTTAGATTTAACAATTTTTTCTAGTAAATTCAGAAATTCAAAATATTTCCAATGGGTTTCACTGCATCATGCAGCGTATGGCCTGATATCGTGAATGGCTCCATTTCACCTCCCGATACAGACCAGTTGGGCAAACTGCCAAGATCTACAATAAGGGGATGTCAGATGTGGATCGCCTGCGTTATAAAAATTCAGTCTGCAACCATATAAAGGTTTTTATTGTGGCCCTTGAGGCCTAACAAATTGGTACCCTCTGCTCTAACATGTTGTATAGTCAGAATCAACTTCTTGTGTGTCTTTGAAACTGAAACATTGGTTTACAGCAAAACATCAGTTTACCTGTGTATCTGTGAAAGAAGCTAGCACAGAGGCACTAAATCAAAGGCAGATTTTTACCAAAACTGACATTTTCTTTTTGTCTGGGGCTAGGGCCTGATATCGCATAACATAACAATCACACTTATAAAAATGGCACATATTCAATTTTCATTGAATTCTTTAAATTTTCTGAAATTGCAAAAGTTCTGTGTGTATTCTGCAATATTGAAGATAAAGATCTTTCTTCTTAACGAAGTCTTCTCTTCAAAATTATATCTTAAGAAAAGGCTGTATACAATATTTTTAAAATGTGAGTGGTTTTTGTGTGAAATAAGATAATATTTTTGGTTAACAGAAGAGACCAAGAATGATTGTCTTGTAATTAATATTTTTTGCATATTGGGTTGTGAAATGTCATAGTTCTAAGATAATAAACTCATGTAATCTAAAAATGATCAGTGTTGGTTATCATTAATATGTGAAGGATACCACTGAAAGAAAAAGGCAATTTTTAAACAAGATTTTCTCAAAAACTGCTCCAAATCTTTTTCTTCGAAGTCATTGAATGGATAGGGTTTAAAGCATTCAATAACAAGACACAAGTGTTTTATTTTGATGTAACCCTTTTAATTTTTTAAAAATTAAAGAATTTTATGAGCCAATAGTATTACTTTATTACGTGACAGTTTCAAGTAAACCAAGAAATTACATACTATTGTAGCACCACTAGTTTCCTTTCTTTCCCTTCTGATAAGTGAGACTTATGATATATTAGGACTTGGTAATGTGCTATTCTTCTAGGTTTGACTAACAAAAATTTGCAATAGTTGAAATAGTAAGTTGTATATCTTACAATTTATAAAGGAGTTGCACTGTGTCATAACTCTTTTATTGTCATGTTACATTTTTAATGTTGAATAATAAACATATAACTTTTCTACAGGTCAAAACCAAGATGGGAATGTATTTGACCCTGATAACATTCGCTCTCTGAAAGATTTTGTCATGGATCAGACTGATGGTGTGGGTGTTCATTTTATGATGGCTGATGGAGTAAGTATGGTTGTACTATAATAGGCATAAACAAAAATTTGGAAAACTACGTGAATTACAGAATTACTTTGTAACAGAAATCAAACATATAAAATATTGGGAAATTAAAATGCAGAAACTATTCAGGAAAATAGCTGAACATGACTAAAAATATTCATTGGAATTGAACCTGAACCCAGGTGAAGGAAAGAATGATGTCTTGATGTGACAAAATGATTAGTTGTAAGATAAATTGACTGTCCTTTAAAATGCAATGTGTGCTGAAGTTGTCTTTGCTATAGAAGAGCAGGAATAATTTCCACTTCTGAGAAGGAGGAGAAAGTGAAAATGTAAATATTTTGCATAATTCATTCCTAATTGATCTGTATGGTCTTGAAGTTTTGAACATTATTGGCTGAAATTTTATGATAGGAATAGTCTGTGTATTGAAAGATGTCTTTACCAATATTTGTAACATTAAACATTTGATAAAGAAATAGTTCACTACCACATTCGTATTCTCGGCATACCATCACTTTACCAATTATACAGGTTCTATATACAATGTGGAGCTGCAAATTGTCGCAGATTATCCGTAATTAATATGGAACTCGTCTTGTATAGCATAACACTCAAACTATTATTTTCTGAATTATTTTAATTGTGATAAAAACTTGTTGAGCCTTAATGGTAAGAAAGATGTTCTCCCATGCAAAATAAAAGAATCTATTTTGAGCAATGATACTGCCGTAGAGTTTGCATGAGATACCTGGGCTCGTGATGACTGTTAAAGTGTGAGTCAGTAGAGCCATTGCGGACTCCATTGAAGATGAACAATATGCAACTAGCTTATTTTAAAGCAACAAAATTTCTGGATCTCTCAATTCAGTCAGACCTCAAAAGGAGCATCCATATAACTGAATTAAACACTAATTTAGTTCCTTATGTTACATATTCAGAATTCTTTCAAATTCTGTCAGCCTTTAGGCAGCTCATTGTGTGTATTTTGCAAATGTACATTCCTGTCTGAGATATGGCATAATAATATTCTGGGGAAGGACTTACTACAATACTTAGACCTTAGAAAAAAATTATTCAAATAATAAGAAAATGCCATCCATGTGATTCCTGTAAGGGTCTCTTCATTGAGCTTTGAATTTTTCCATTGCTTTGCATATTTATTTACAAATCTGTAGATTTTGTCAGAACTGACTTATATAACAGTGGGAACATATTTTCATGCATTACTGATATTTATTGTAAACACACAATGGTAGCAATCGAATTCATCTGGTGTTAGTATCAACAACTCATTTCAAAAACCCACATATAATACATGTACATTACTTTACAACATGTTGTTAGAGGACATCAAACAATTATACAGGGTACACAAATTTAAGTTAAAAGCAAAACCTTTTCTGCTGCATAACTGTTTCTGTGCAAATAGAAACTATACTGTCCATTAAAAAGAAAAAAAAATACGTTTGAACAATCATACACAATGCATTAATTTACAATTGCTTTGTATAATTTTAAAAAAAAATAAAGATGCCTATGACAATTAATGTACTTCACCTTCCAGATCAATGACCCCCTCTCGTTCAGGTTTTTGTCAAGTTTCCCTGATCCATTGAGCAAATGTTGAGATGGCCCTGTGTTTTGTGTCTGGACCTAAATCTATCTTCACTAAGCCCACTTTCATTGAACTTTTTTTGCTTGGAATGGTAGGAGCAGATCCGGGGCTGTTTCTGTTTTATTAGAAATACAAAAAAATGAAATCATTATTGCTAGCATTATGGTGAAATTCCAGTGACATTTCATTCTTGTGTTCTCTCGGTAAATGTTCAGTAACAATTTTGATTTTCAATTATATTGAACCTAATTGCACTTTTGGAATGAACCAAAATGCTTTCTGTAGAAAATTTCATGGGCTTTCAAAAGGGTAAAATTTACTTTAGTGTATTTAGTCAGTTTTCAAGATATTTGTGAAAAATGTCACAAGCCCACACATTTCTTTCTAAGGAATGGGAAAGGTAGGCATGAATAATTTTTGTAAAATTTTGAACAGACAACAACTTTTCTCTTGTTGTGAAGGTCAGATGTACAAAATGTCATTAAGATCTGAAAAAGCAGATTTGTGTGAAAGCAAACAAACAAACATTCTTTTTTATATAAAATAATGACTTGCAGGTAAAAAGTAGTCTACCTTTCAGTGAAAATCACTCATCAGAATCAGTTCAGCTATTCCAGAGATTACCTCAAACAATCAGACAAAAATTGTGAAAATAATGGAATGGGTTTTTATATTGTGTAAATAATGATATGAGAAAATAAGGTACTTATTTTGAAATCACAGACCCTCCAATTTTATTTAGATAGATTGAAAGGGAGAAAAATTTTAACTATGAATGAGTTGGAACGTGAAATAAGTTCTGTAATATGGAAAAACCTTTAGCTATTTAAGTTTGTATTTTTTGTTTTTCTCTCTTTTTCCCTTTTCTTTGCAGAGTAATTATAATTCTAATTAATGAAAAAATGTATAAGTGTATATTCATTATTAAACTAAATGTTTTATATCATGCAGGGTTTTTCAGTTGAGGGACAAGAGAATATTCAAGAAATACTTTCTAAGCAGCTGTATCTGTGCCAGTTCCTAGTTGCTCTTTGTATTCTTAGAGATGGTGAGTAATGTGGTTCTTTGAAATTAAATGTACTGTAGTTTTATCAAATTAAATATGTATCTACATATTTATATTGCTTAACTCTTATTCTCTTTGGGTCTTTTTACAGGAGGGCATTTTGTATGCAAATTGTTCGATCTATTTACTCCGTTCAGTGCAGGACTTATATATCTTATGTATAAATCATTTAAACGTATTTGTCTTCACAAACCCAATACTAGTCGACCTGCTAATTCTGAAAGGTTTGATATCTCAATGGACTTAAAACTGCAATAGAATCAGATATCCTGTAAACTAATAAAATTTTAATATTTTGTCATAGATATATTATTTGTAAATGGAAGAGGAATGATTGTGGCCCTGTGACAGATTATTTGTTTAAAGTCAATCAAGTTTTGTTTAAATTAGGATCATCTAGTAAAGATGATGTTACTAGTCTGGTAGATCTCTCTGTTCTTCAAGAAGATAGAGCATTCTATGAATACATGGTAGATTCTAACAACAGGTAAGTGTATAAATCATCTGAGAATGAACTTGATCTTTTCATGTACAAGTGTTTCATTCTTTATATTTCAACAGTCTTGGAGAACGCCAAGTGATTAATTTGGTGAAAATTGCTGCATTCTGCCGTGATACCTCATTGTCAGAGCCAAAACAAGCAGAAATGCGGCGAAAATGTCTAGAGTATTGGGAGATACCTGACAGAGCAAGAACTGCTCCTCCTAAGATATCTCCCGATTCAAAATGTGATGATCTGCTTAGAGCAGCTAAAACAAGTAAAGTATTGATTTACAGCTGTGGCAAATGAATTCCAAAGGCATGAATCATATTAAGTCGTATAAATGTTATAGAAGTCGTATAAATGTTGCATTTAAGAGTGTTGCAAAACTATATACATACAATTTCCTTGTGTGTGATTTTTTTTTTATAGTATACTGGTAAACACTTATCTTTTAAAAATTACAGTAAAACCCCATTTTTACATTTCTGCCTTTTACTTAATTTTTCGTTGGTCCTGTTGAAAAGCCTATATTTACAATGCATTCTCTTCCCGGAATTTACAACTTGATATGAAGAGTTCTTCCCATCTTTTATGTCTTTATTTAAAATTTATTTTATTTTTTTACTTTCTCGTATACAGAAGTTTTATACCTAGTGCTCAGAAAGTTATGTAATGCTGCGGCAAAAAACGCCGATTTTTCGGCAGAAAAACTTGTACTGATACTGAAAAAGTGAATAAATCCTGTTTCAATATGTAGTAAATTACTACATGTATGTATCGAACTTGCAAAAGTTTCTTGGCTAAATAAAAAATTTGTCTTTTATTTTGCATAATAGATACTGTATCAAAAGTATTAGAGAATTTGAAGCACTTCAGGTTTTTGTCTGTTCCTGTTTTACGTGGAATGACTCGCATGATATTTAACTGTTGTAGTTGTACAAAACGTATTCCCTGTTCCATGAACAGTACATTCTTAGTTTTTTGAAAAACAAATCTGTTCATTTGCAAGAAAGTATTCATAACTTTTTTTGTCTAAGTGATATTTATTAATATTTTTCTTTATAAACTATGAAGCAGGTATTCCTTTATAGACCACTGAGCAAATTGTTTTAATGGAAAGATATGTTTTGAGGGTCCCTAATATAAAATATGTGGAATTTTCTTGCACCTATATGTTGTAAATTGTTTTCTCAACTACGTAATGTAGTTTAAGTTCATGTTTTGTGAGACCTTCATACTCAAAAATTGGTTCTCTGCGAAACATTTCTCTCTGTGTACATTTTGAGTGACACTTCTGGCTAAACTGTACATAGAATTTTCACCAAAATGGATATTCCCTGATTGATCTGGGTGTACTTTAAACGGATCTTTTAAATTTTGTGGGGTACTTTACATTGAGCTCTAAGGAAATTTTCTCGGTAAGAAGTCCAATTTTTTTCTTTAAATTTGTTGCCTAACTAGAGAAAAGTACTGTTATATAAATGGTGCAGAACATATTATCATAGGTAATTCAATGAGTGCTTTGAAAATTATTGAAAAGACCTCAAGTTGTGAAGCAATGAAGGCATTTATCAGAGAATTTCCAAAGCATGAATGGAATTTATTAGGACTATTTCAGAGTGATATTTGAATTCAAGAAGCCAGTTCGTTAATTCTCACTACATAAGTTATTCTTATATGTTTACATATTTTCAATAATGTCAATTATTACATGCATCAATATTCATTCTCTATTTACTTAAACATGGCAATCTGCAATTTTAAAACCAAGGAAGTTAGGTTATATGTTTATACATATGTATAAACTACTTTTTATAGTGTACAAGTAAGGATTAATACAGTACCCATGAGAATAAATAGAAAGGCACGTAATGAAAATACAAAATATATAGGTAAAATTTCACTTCCTTCAATAAGTTTGCAATTTCCTGAATTGGTGTATCTTTTCTTAATATATAGCTTTGGTCCTTACAAAAAATTTTAAACTGTTTCCATGTTTTCTACTTTTAGCGATGAACTATGGAATAGCTTGTCAAATAATATTGTCTATCTCTTTCGTAATGCATCACCTAATCTTTTCAAGTTGATAACTGTTTGAATGAGACAATGGTCAAGTGTGCTGTGTTGCACATTGTCCCAGGAATTGATGGATCCTGCCTCCTAAGATGGATGAAAAGCAGCTTGAGATTGGGCTCTAATGAGGGGGTGATAATTTAAAATGTTTAAGAAAACTGAATTTTTATGTGAATCAGTGCTGTGATTTGTTAATATCATATGATCTTAAAAGCCATTGATCCTAATTTCATAAGAGGGATAGTTAGTAAAATCCCTGATTTTTTTAAAATTGTTAAGTTTAAAATTTGTTTTGAGTCCTCCTATAAATGCATTAATGAGGATGGAGATATTATTCATAGTACAAACTCATCTTCATAATTTGATTTTAAAATAATGTCTTTACAATTTATTGAAACTGTTAGTAGTTTTTGTGAAATTTTGATGTAAGGAGTTACAATAAAAAGCCATA